AGCAAAAAAAAAAAAAAAAAGAAGAAGAAGAAGAAAAGAAAATGTGAGATAGAGAACTTACGATGGCGGGGGGAATTCAATCTTTCGGTCGATACGTCCAGGCCGCAACAGGGCAGGGTCAAGAATATCAAGTCGATTCGTAGCCATGATGATTTTGATGTTCTTGGTTGGCTCGAAACCATCAAGTTGATTCAACAGCTCCAACATTGTACGTTGGACTTCCGAGTCACCAGAACCAGCGCTGTCTATCCGGCTGGAACCAATGCTGTCAATCTCGTCCATGAAAATGATACTAGGGGCATGCTCTCGAGCCATGACGAAGAGCTCGCGCACCATACGACTACCCTCACCGATGTACTTCTGTACCAACTCTGATCCACTGACTCTGATGAATCGGCAATCAGTGTGATGGGCGACCGCTCGCGCAAGCAGTGTCTTTCCGGTTCCAGGTGGCCCATACAGAAGAACACCTTTCGGTTGCGCAATACCAAGAGATTCGAAGAGTTCGGGGTGCTTAAGACCAAGCTCAATCACTTCCTTGATCTCCTTGATCTGCTGGTCCAAGCCACCAATCATGTCGTATGTGCTATCGGGAACCTTTTCAACCATCATGAGTGAGACCAACGGATCGACTGATGAAGGCAGCATCTTCTCCAGCTTGTATGAATCAGAGAGTAGTGCCACACGCTTGCCAACCGTGAGTTTGCCAATATCCACACCATCCGCAATGTCCACAACTATAGCACGCAGAATAAGTCAGCCTCACGATGTACACACAACTCACAAGCAGATCCAAAGGCTTACCATATTTGCCCTCTGGATGTACCTTGACGAGGACTTTTTTGGTGCTCATTACTTTCACCACCTCGCCGACATAAGAACCAGGCTGCTGAAGCAAACCCAGCTCTTCTCGCAGTAGGCGCACTCTCGAGTTATAATCATTGCGTTGTGCTTCTAATCGTCGTAAAACAGCCTGACCCTGGATAATCTCGAGTTTCATGCCCTCGATCTTATTACGGTAGTAGTTGTCAAGCGCCATGATGGATGGCAAAGGATGGCGCTTCCTTGAGGATCCACGGCAGGTCGCTCATACAACAGCCGACCTTTGGAGAATATATCAATCCCAAAGTCGGAGAAAGATGTGATATCCTCAATATAGCGAGAATAAATCGAAAAATCAAAGAGTCAGACCAGAAGAAAGCAAAGTGGTGGTTATTGTTGGAATGGGGGAGCTGTCACCAAACAGCTGTTAGGTAGGGAACCGGGGAGCAACAGCAACTCAACTGGTCGGAGCTGATATCAGCAACTAGCCACACTTTGGTCAGCCACCCTTTTATGCCTAAGGCTGCAAAGCTACTTACTAGCTTGGTACCAGGTAGTGATGTCAAAAGCGTGCTGCTGAGTCATTCAAATCCCATTGAACGACCAAGACAATCAGGGCCAAATATGAGCGCTGATTGGATAGTGGGCCACTTGGCGGACCGCAGGTGATCGCTCCATGGCGCATTCATTAATTACAAATACCATACCATACTCAGCCATCGTTCTGGATTTCCCTTTGAGTGGTCTGTATATTACATGTAGTGACCGTATCAATACAGCGGCCCGAGTCCCTTCGATAGCTCTCTACCGACAGTCGTCCATCCATCCATCCATCCTGATTTCATCCTATTCAGTATATTAATCTAATAATAATATTACAAACCTACTAACTAACCACTCTCCCCAATTCACCTCGTTTACCATTCCCGAGTCATCTTTTTTTTAAACCACGAGACTGATTAGACTAGTGTCTCAGCTGACTGCGGGGGATGGAATGATACCTTATGACCTTTGAGGTGATTTAAAGAAAGGTTTGCCCGCAACATCTTTATCTACTATCTCTTCACGCGTCTGTTACGCAGATCAGCCAACCTCTCCTATTATTGACTACGGACTGGGCTGCAACATGTAAATTGGCTTTTCATCAAAGATAACTTTGACCATCAGAACACTCATCACAGAGGACAAAAAAAAAGAGCCTGCCTGTTGTATTTTTCTCGTCTTCCTATCCCTTCCCCCCTCACTCTGTACATTTTTTCTCCCAACATACCAGGACTCCCTGTCTTTTGACTGATTAAGAAATCCAACATAAAAGAGAGGTATGGACGGTACTCGGGATGATAATGACTTCTCCGAGTCAGATGCCCCGTCGCGCTTTGCCTCGATTGTAAGCAGCGGGAATCTGCCGCCTGGAGCTACTCGCCAACCAAGCTTCACAGGAGGACAGAGAAGGAGAAGCTACGGTGTGCTTTTTATCCCTTGTAACCAAAAGCTTTTGATGATTACAGTTACTTACTTGTTTTCTTACACAGGCACTACTGCTATAGATCCATTGGACAGGATGGGTTCGGACGCACGCCCGGATGAAGGCCTACCGGAGAGCTCCAGTCGCCAGCCCGCGTCTCAGACACCATCCATAACACCTTCACACTCCGATAAACCAAGAAAGCCCTCTGTAACGCGTCGCATGTCTTCCAAACGGCAGATCCCTCACAAAGGTCAGGAATTTTCTACCGATGATGATCTTAAAGAAATCGAGGAGGACATTGCTTTGCAGCACGCGTCGAATCCTCAATCTTCGCCGCGAATACGTCCATTGAGAAAGCAGAGCTCGACTTTGCGAAGGAGGTTGAACACCCGTCCCAGTCCTTTGGCACGAGCAGAGTCCGATAACGAGAGTGAAGATGAATCAGCTTTGCCGGAACCCAGCTTGGAGGGTTCTGGCCCTGATTTGGCCTTACAACAAGATGAGAGCAGGAGCCAGGATAGTGCTGATCAGGACAATGATGATGATGTTGACCGTGACCATCATGATGACGATGACGAAGATGACGAAGAGACCAGTGATGCAGAAAGTTTCACACTAAAAGATCGTCAGCAGGCAATCAATGAAACACATCCTTTCGGAATCAGGCTTTGGAAACCCGCCTTGTACAAGAAGAGTCGCTCTGTGGAAAAGACGGCTGAAGGTGACATTCACTCGTCGCCCGGGGGTCGAGTAGGGAATCTATTGTTCCTGACAAACCTGCTGTGGACCTTGTTTTTTGGATGGTGGCTTGCCCTTGCTGCACTGGCCGGTGCCACCGCTTGCTTCATTTTCGCATACTCTCCAAGTGCGCGTGCCTATGGGAAAGTCTTTTCTGGACTTTCATGGTATCTTTTTTACCCATTCGGATCCTTTGTACGCCTGGAGACTGATGAGCACTATGCGGAAGAAGATGAAGGTGAAGGGCGCAGTATCAGCGAGTATGAGCAATGGCAGAACGGTGATCTAGAGCACGGAGGGCTCTTCTTCGGCCCCCGCCGTGACCGATCCCTCGTTGGTAGGAGGAGGAGCAGTGTCGATTCGGCCAGTGAACGAGATAGCCTTCTTGGACGGCCACAACGAGGTCATCATCGAACTAGTTCCCTGGGGCACCCCAAGCGACGCCTGTTCGGCCGAGGCGAATGGACATTGGGCCGGGTCGTATTCTTTGTTTTTTTCTACTTTCTCGTTGGACCATTGATGCTCATGGTGTCCCTTATCTGCTGGTTTCTTGTTTTCTGGATTCCAATGGGGCGCGTAACGATCACCCTATTCAGTCATCTCCGTCGTCATCCTCTAGCTTTGGCATTCCATTCTGACACGGCATACACCCGGCTGAATCCCAACACCTCCTCGTCCATTGTCTTGTGCACATACCGTGCAGCTGGGCTGCGATACTGGAAGTACACGATTGATGGGACGAACATATTCTTGATCAACCTTCTTGGTGTCGTAGTATTCGTTATATTTGACTATTTGCTTCTAGATGCTACTCTGGGCTTGCAGAGTTGGTTGACACATCCTGGCCTGATATTCACGCTCGCCTTAGCGTCCATTATTCCCCTGGCGTATTTCATTGGGCAAGCCGTCGCATCGATTTCTGCGCAGTCGTCCATGGGCCTGGGTGCCGCCATCAATGCATTCTTCTCAACCGTGGTAGAGGTTTTCCTTTACTGCGTAGCTTTGACCGAAGGCAAAAGCCGTCTTGTCGAAGGCAGTATTATCGGCAGCATATTCGCGGGCATCCTGTTCCTTCCTGGATTATCTATGTGCTTCGGCGCAATCAAACGTAAGACCCAGAGATTCAACGATAAATCTGCGGGAGTCACATCAACAATGTTGATGTTCGCTGTGATTGCTGCCTTTGGCCCTACTCTATTTTATCAAATTTATGGCAGTGTAAGCCCCCCCCCTCCCTGCTCCCACTTTTGACATGTCACTGATTAGTATTCTCAGCATGAATTGAACTGCATCTCCTGCACTATTCCAGGGGATTCGGGAGACAAGGATTGCCGCCGCTGTTATTTCTCTCAAACTCCAGCCGTCGATGATGGATTCTTTCGCAAGGCGGTTCAGCCTTATTCATGGTTCGCGGCTTTGTTTTTGTTTTTGTCATATGTAATTGGCCTATGGTTTACTCTCAGGACTCATGCTGCGCTCATATGGGCTACAGAAGCTGAAGAGAAAAAGGCCGCGGCTCTTGCAAATGAGTCAACCGCTTATAATCAACAACAACTTCTTTTCCCCAATGGACTGCAAGGCGCCACCAGCGGGAATGCTGGTTCAAAGGGCTCGATACGTGACTCACAGCTATACAAGCGGATCTTAGGACAGTCCCTCAAGCAAGTTGGCTTGTCCGATAACGCCTCATCGGAAGCTTGGGGCCAGCCAGAAGCAAGTTCGGCGCGAGATAAGACTATGACACCATACCTCGTTCCTCCACGGCTTGAGGGAGATGACAAGCGTTCAGGTCTGAAGAGCTTCAGGGGTTTGTCTGGCGAAGAAAATGAGAACTTAGTCCGCCAGGTCACTGAACTTGCAGCGACAGCAGCAGCAGTGGCTGCTCGTGACGCGGCTCGCTCACGGAAGCCATCTCTTCAGCAAGGCCAAGCGCGCCAAAGTCCTTGTACCATTAACAAAACACCCGCCGATCAAACGAAAGTTGCTCTAGAAGAACCTGACGATGTTGGACTTGAGCCTGCCCAGGCCAGCGGTGGACACGATGCCCCCAATTGGAGCAAAGCCAAAAGCTCAGTCGTTCTTCTAGGTGCCACGGTGCTCTATGCGATAATAGCTGAAATCCTCGTCAAAAAAGTCGATGTGGTGCTAGAAAGCGTCAACGTTGACGAGAAATTCCTTGGAGTCACTCTTTTTGCCTTGGTGCCGAACACTACTGAATTCTTGGTAAGAATCCTTCTCCCTTAGTACTTCCGCAATCTGGACTGACATGTACCTGAAGAACGCTATTTCTTTTGCCATGAACGGCAATATTGCTCTGTCCATGGAGATTGGATCGGCCTACGCGCTGCAGGTCTGCCTATTGCAGATACCAGCCCTAGTTCTATTTAGCGTCATCTATGCCACCTTCTGGGAGCCGTCTGAGCTTTTGAAGCATTCATTCAAGTCAGTTCACACCCTCATTGATAACAAGAGCGTTTTGCTTACTGATATATGCAGCCTTATCTTCCCTCAATGGGACATGGTCTCGGCTATCCTTTGCGTGTTCCTCCTATCATACGTGTATGGAGAAGGAAAGAGCAATTACTTCAAAGGCTCTATTCTCGTGCTAACATATCTGGTCGTTGTTATCGGTTTCTACCTATCCGGTTACAACAATATCGAAAACATGGGCGTGGATCGCTTCAATACGCTAGCCCTTAAACCCGAAACCTTCTACACGATTGGAAGATCAGGAAATGGGATCGCCTACTGATGGGCATACCACTATTGTTGGGATGACAATCTTGACGAAGTATACATAGCCCCCCCCCTTCCTGATTTTGAACATTATACTTGAATTTGCATAGAATAATTCATGCCGGGCTTTCAAACTTCATTCGGCTCTATAGTTGTTGTATATAGTACGGCTGGATTCATACCTGCATTGATCAATAACGTCTAGGATACTCTTATGTCGGACGAGAAACCAAGGACAATTTGTTATGACAGCTGAATATCCGCTGCTCCTAGGCCTTGTTTTTAATTTATGTATTTCACTTTTATTTATACCCGAAAATCATGGCAAAGGAGAGAAAAAATGCACTTTCCCCCATATCTCACGCCTCGCCACATTACCATTATGATATGGAATTGGGCATAAGTAGATAACGATAGAATTGCACGTAAGCAGTAAAGCATCTCGCCCAAAAGAAACCCAAAGCGTTTTTTTTTAGTAGATCGATGTTGACGATCAGTGTCATTACATCATAATCATCATCAACCAGACTTCCATGAGCTCACTGCTTGGTCAACAAGGGCTCGGTACTCCTGCTGTTTATGACATTGCTCGAGGAAAACCTTGTACTTGACACTGAGCAAGGCCAACTCATTCTCGTCGATGGTCGGGTCGACCTTCTTGCCTGGTTTGCTCATCCGGTCCATGATCTCCCAAAGATCTTCTGTCTTCCCATCGGCATCGGCACTAGCCGCCTTGGCACCCAGCATCGCGGCACCATGGCACACGGCAGCATGGATATACCGCGGGATGAGAACGGGCATGCCACAGGCGGATGCGATAAGTCTCACTAGTATGTCATTCTGACACTGGGACCCAGACATGAAGATCGAAGTAATGCTGTGGCCGGCCTTGTTCATGGTCTCGACTATCTGTCTGGTTTGCAGAGCAATAAATTCAAGCGTGGCATAGTAGTAGATTGCGAGACCGTCCACGGAACTGTCACTGGACAGGCCAACGATAGATCCCGCCATACTCGAATCAGCAATTGGCGAACGGTTGCCCCAGAGGTCGCCATAGAAAAAGAAGTGACGTCCTAGATAAGACACACTGGGCACTTTTTGTTCCAAGACCATCTCCTTCAGGTGCTCATTGAGGTACTCATAGATATTAGCATGGTATGACTCGGCGATAGATGCTGCCTGGTTGAAAGCTGGGTGAGTCTCAATGACATATTTAAGCAGTTCTCCTGTCGCAGACTGTCCGCCCTCGGCCATCCAGTATCCTGGCTGGATCGTGTCACGATAAGGACCCCACACGCCGGGGACAAAGACAGGGTTTGGAGACATGGCAAGATGACAGGTCGAGGTTCCAGCAACCGCTGCCAGACGCGAAAATGCCTGGGTCTTGTCATTCTTGGCAACTTCAGCGCTCAACTGACCCGAGCCCAACTGAACCTTGGCACCGACAGTTCCGATCCAGCCTGCATAGGCGTCAATAACACCACTGCCGATTGCAATCCCAGAGGGCAATCCCAGCTCAGAGGCTGCCTTCTCGCAGAGAGTGCCAACGAGTTCACCAGCACTAAGGTAATCACCATTCTGAACAGAAAAGCAGTTAGATTTAGAATTCATCAATACAGGTGATAAATGAATGGGGAAAGGGAAATAACTGCAAGGAAATAGGCTCACCACCCCGTCAACACCTCCCATGCGCTTGAAATCGTCCTGGGTCAAGTCATCGAGTCCGATCTCCATGAGAAAGTCTTCTTGCCAGCCCTTGACGCTTCCGTCAACACCAACGGGGACATAGCCCTGTTTGCAAACCACACTACAAAAGCTTCGCTTGTCGTTTCCGGTTGCGATGTGGGTGAGAGCATCTGCTAAATCATAAAACTTGCACTGGTCAAAGAGTTCTTTTGGCATGTTGTTCTTTAGCCACAGAACCTTGGGGATCTCCATCTCAATGGACATCTTCCCACCAACATAGCGAAGCAGATTGTGATTTGTAGCGTTAATCTTCTCGGTCTCCTCGACGGGGCGGTGGTCCAGCCAGAGAATCACATTGCGGTCAGAATCGAAGTTTGGGCCAGTTATGGAGATGGGCTCATCAGTGACATTGGAAAACACGGATAGTGAGCATGTTGCATCAAATCCTATACCTCTAACGGTCTCAGGGTCAATATTGTGCTGGCTGATAGCACGCTGAACACAGACGCAGATGCAACGCCAAATGTCATTAGTAGATTGTTCCTAAAGACACATTGTCAGGTTATAACGCTGGATTCCGAAGCAGAATCGGTAGCATACATAGTACCCCTGCTGTGGCTGCCAAAGGCCAATATTCTCAGAAGCCAGGCCGACAATATCACCTTTTCCGTCAACGATACAAGCACGAGCACTGCCGGTTCCAACGTCAATGCCAATATAGTGGTCGAGATGAACCTGAATCTCGTTTCGCGGATCACTAGAGGCCCGCCTGGAGCCTTGTCGGGAAGAGCGACGGTAAGGCGTGGGTGAGCTCATGATGGGGAACAGAGAAAGAAGTCTATCAGATCAGAACCAATGCTCTTCACTATCCACCGAAAATGCTACGAGTTCTTGGATGTCTGTTAGCGACGAAAACAAAGACAGAATTGAACAATTGAACACAATTTAGGGGGGAGTGTCAATTAGGTAGAGATATCTGTAGCTGTAGCTGTAGCTAACTAGCTAACAGCTTGCGTACATACAAAGACAGGATGATAAGATTATGAAATCGTATCAAACAAAATAGAGATTAGATTGGGTTCGATTGATCCGGTTTGAAAGAAGGGAAAGAGATGAAACTTGTTTGGAGCTACTGACAATGAAAGGAGACGTTCTTTAGTTATACTGGTTGAAATCAGAATTCCAGTCACCTGGTTAAGAGACAAGGGGGAAAGAAAGAAAAGAAAAACAAAACCTCGCTGGTGGAGGAAGTGGGATTATGACAGCATCAGCATAGCTGCCCCAGACAGTGTGGGTTGACCGCCTCCAGACGGACTGTGGGGAAGCAATACTGATGAATGGCTGGGACGACAGTGCTCCGGCAAAAGAGCAAAAGAGAAAGAAAGACAAAGAGGAATATGCTGCAGGAGGCAATGGAGTTTATGCCTTCGTTTTCGAAGGGTGCTTGAAGAACCAGAAAAACAGCATGGAAAACAATCTATGGTAGGGATTATGGAATATGGACCACTACTATGTGTACTATGATTCTTAAGATGGTTTTATTATTATGGATCGTTTTGCTTTTAGATAATAATACGTACGAAGTATTCATATGAGTACGGAGTAGTTACTCTGTACCTATATGTTTATCCATGGATATTTAGGTAGGTAATTACTTACCTTATACATGGCGGGTATCGTATTGTCTCGTAACGAAACAATCTGTCTGAACAGTACATACGGGTAATATTTGGTAGACCTTCCTTCCAGCATTGACTAGTTATGTCCAATCGTTCATCCTAGATACTTTAACTATTGCTTCAAGTTCAACTGACATTTATATGTTTAATAACTTATTATATAGATATATCCCTCATCAACAGTAGTAGAATGTGTACATCATCAAAGTAAACATAAATTTTGAGAATACCACCAAGCCTCCAAGGACAAGAACTACTACTGTACTACTGTACCTACCTAGGAGTTTAGGATTAGTGGGTCAGCAACATCTCCCGGAAGCTGCAGCACCTCTCCAGGAACACATGGTTTCTCAACCAGTCAATTCAACCAAGCTCCACGACAATTCTCTACCATTCTCTCTCTCCTCCCCTCCCCCTCTGTCTCTATCGGGAAATTGATTTTTTACTCTTGAATCCCCCATAAACAAGCTTGCATTCAACCCAACATGCGCCTCGCGTTAACCGTATTCTCAGCCATCTCCTTGACCTCATTATCCATTGCCACCCCTTCTGCTCCGCAACTTGCCTCGGCCGATGTCCTGTACTGGCCCGTGACCTCTTCTCAGCCTTCCTCGCTCGCTCGCATATCGTATGATGTGACGTCGCTGACATCAGACGTGATATCCTTCTCCCCTCCGAATCCCGTCGATCACAACAACAAACAGCAGAGCGAGATCCGAGATCAGAATGAGGATCTAGTCCGCGTTGGCCTGTACATCTCTACTCCAGAAAATTCCAGGCAATGGGTCGGTACTCTCACAACGCGTTCCTCCCTGGCCGGTAACGGCGGCATAGGGCCAACGCTTCGACTTCATCTAGATCCTTCCGACAACGAGGTCTACCAAGTCTCCGTATTGCCACCATTGTCCGCTACAAATGCTTCAGGCACTGTGAATCCTACCATTGAGCTGGTTTCCAGTGAAGTAGGACCCTATCCACATCTCAATCGCCCTATTGTGGTTGGCCCAGATGGTAAAAACTCTGAGGAACTTATCGAGAAGACTTTCTTCCAGAAGTAAGTATATAAAACCCTTCGCCCCCAAGTACCATATCGAATTTTCGTCATCAATTATAATCTAACCTGTTCAAACCCTGTCTAGATATTGGTGGGTATTCCTCGTCATCACCTTCCTGGCGATGTCGGGCAGCGCAGAGGGGCAATAAACTGAATCATAATACTATACTACCATATAATTTTATTTTGCCCCTCAGAGCGTCTAGGAAAATATCTAGCAATGCCAAAAAAGAATAGTTATACCACTTAATACATCTATAGTATCCGTCACGACCAGCGAGGCAATCCGTCATATTCGCATTTGTTGTTTTCATCGTCGCGTCTGGCGGTTTTATGCTTGGGAATGGGTTTTTATTTTTTTTTTCTTATTTTGGCCGACAAGCGGGCAATTGCTTGGGCTCTGTTCTTCATATTTCTGCATCAACGCGAAGGAACGACCGACCGACTCAGGACATTCTGGATTTCCCTTGGAAGCTTCTCAAAAGAGACATCAATAGATCGATATTGACTAAAGCTCGAATCTAGTCAGTTCGCTGCACTTCAGATTTCTAACATACTAGCACTAGTACGTGTAGATGAAAGATCCGCATCTGATATGAGCAAGTTCCTGTGCATTGTAACCATTCACGCAAATTACACTGCGCTAGTGGCTTGTTTATCCTCGGTCTATTGTAACTTCAAGATTATTTATTAGTGGCGGCCCGACCAACCACCACCTCCACTAGTGGGTGGTCGGCAGCATAAAGGAAAAGAATGAAGCTTTTCACATTTTTACCACTAAACTCCTCTAGAATCCATAAAATAAAGCTGATCAACCAATTCTCCAGCCAATTCTCTATGTAAAGCTATAGAGTTATCTTCTTCAGGAGGTGCTAGTGGGAGATAGCTATACACCTCTTTATAAGTCTTATCTACTTTCTTCTTCTTATTTAACTCCTTTTTGGCCCTCCTATTAGTAATAGACTGATTTATATCCTGTACAGTCAGTATTCTGCTATCCCTAAGGTATTAAACCTCTTAGTTATTCTGCTCTGGTGAGGTGCGTAGGATGCCTTAATTTAGCTAAGAGTAGTTTTTATAATAGTGAGTTACTCAGATTAATATTTTTATTATTAAATTATATAATCTAGGCCATGCTTAAGCTATAGAGGGATCTCTATATTATCTATTAGATAGAATATCTTCTTATAGTTCTTTTTAGCCTGTTAAGAGCTCTTTAGAGGTATATTTTTAAAACTTAAAGATAGAGGATATAAAGGAGGTATAGTCTCTAGTATTAAGAGCTCTAGAACTAGTAGTAGATTATTCTAAATAGCTTTAATAATAGAAGAGCTATCTAGTAGGAATATACTATATTCTTTAAAGGAATTATAGATAATTTATAAGGTAAAGGTCTTCTTCTACATAGCTATAATATTATAGAGAAAATTAGCTTTATCTCTTAGAATACTATTCTACTGTATAATAAGTAGTGTGTCACACGAGTCAAGTCTACTCGTAAGTAACGAGTAGAGTTTGAGTAATGAGGTGAGTTCAAGTTGAGATTTAGGACTCATCTTAGTATATGAGTAAAACTCATGAGTTTTGAGTAATAAGTTTAAGTTAATAGATTAGACTCAAAAACTTATAGATCAATTACCTATTATAGAATCTGGCCTAAAAAGGAATAGTTAATATAGAGGTTGTATTACTATATATCATGTATATAATAGGCTATGCTAATGGAGCCTCTATTAACCTACCTATACTATATAAATAGAAATATAATACTTTATATTAGGTACCTAGCTTAGTCAGTATTATAATACTATTATAGTCTATATTATACTAGTCTATTTTAGGATAAATAAGTTAAACTTATAAGTAATGAGTAGAGTTTAAGTAATAAGGTGAGTTTAAGTTCAGATTTAGGAATTATCTTAGTATATAAGTAAAACTTATAAGTTTTAAGTAATGAGTTTAAGTCCTACCTTCCAACTTAACTTACAAGTCGAGTCCTAAATCTCTACTCGAACTCGACTCGTGTGACACACTAATAATAAGGTTATTTATACTTTAAAATATATTTTATATATAAGAAAAGGCTTTCTATTAAGTAGTTAGTGGAGATAAGTTATATAAGGTCTAAAGTAGAAGGGAAGGATCTTATAAGTCTTATAAAGTAGTAAGAATTTAACTATTTAATAAGCTATATAGCTATTAAAGATAAGAATATATTTTTCTCCCTTTTTTATATAATCTTTTATCTTATTATAGAATTTATAAAGCTATTTAACTGCTAGCTTTTTATTTATATAGCCTTTCTTAAAGACTATAGTATAGTAGTTTAGTAGCCCTTCTTTAAACTATAACTCTATAAATTTCTTACCTTTAAAATATAAAAAGTAGAGTTATAATCTAACTATTTATAGTAATATATTTAAGTATAGTTATATTCTCTATATACTTAGCTTTAATAAGATTAGGGACTTTCCCCTTTATACTAAGCACTTTTTATACCTTTCCTTAGCCTAGTTAAAAGCTATATTTATTAAAGTTATATACTAGGTAAGTAAGGACCTAATAGAGTAAGCTTAAAGCTAATTATACTAAAATTAAAGCTATCTAATATCCTCTATCTCTAATCACTTTTCTCCTTTATTTTCTAGACTACTGGGCGTAATTAAAGCTCTAGAAGTCTTTTTATAAAGTGATATACCTATAAGTAATTAATATATTATTTAGGATTAATATACTATATAGTAAGGTTTACCTATTCCTAAAGTAGTATAATAGTGACAGGAAGGTATATATTATATATATAAGTAAGTGTCACACCCTGGGATCTTACAATGGTACCTAACCTGTAACCTGTGAGTTAAGCCTGGGAATACTAACCTGTGACCCTAATCTAAGGGCATTAATAGTAATAGGGTGCTCCTATAAGCTATAGTACTTAAAAATATAGTATAGTAGTTAAAGAGAGAAGTAAGGCTAAGAAATATATATACTTCTTAATTAAGTAAGAGATATATAAATAAGTAGGTAGAATAATTTAAAGTAGTAATTAAAATAGGAATTATAAGATTAATAACTTTAATTAATTATAAAGAATTATCTAAGTATATAGAGTGAGTATCCTTATATATCCTTTACTAGTATACTATTCTATATACTATCTTAATAGTAGTCCTAATAGTAGTTATATACTATATACTATGTCTTAGTAATAGTAGATAGTAGTTAATTATATGAGTGTGGCAGTATTATAAAATAGTGGCTGTAGAGAGAGTTATAATAGCAAATCATAATTCTCTATAATAAGAATATCTATTCCCCTTAACTGCCTTATTCTGCCTGATACAGTCACTGATAAAGGTGCTGTAACAGTAAGCTATTTAACTAGAGCTACCTCCTAATACTGATTAAGTGTTTTATTTATAGGGATTTAAGCTATATAAGGCTTTCTTTAATTATTAAGGTAGCCATGTAGTGTACAGTAGGGAATACTATATTCTTATATAATCTTTATAATATTTAGTTTTTTCTTAAGATAAGCAGCTTTATATACCTCATTAATATATTCATCACGATTTTCAGACAATTTAGGCATTTTAGGCGGTTTATATAGCTTCAAAAATATTAAATATTCATCTTTTTCCTTTACGCTGAAAATTCCTTTACGCTGCTGACCACCCACTAATATACATAAATTCAGCTTCTCATCTCAGAAAAGGTCTTTGCCTCCTAAGCTGGGTATCATACCTCTTGATCCCTCGGGGTCTCAAGAATATCTTTAAAGATCTTCAAATGGCCAATTGATGAATGGTTCGTTCCCCTTTGCCCAGTGGGCCAAGATCCCAGGACATCACCCCGCGATCTGTAATCACCACCAGCTTATCCTCTCCGTTCATAAACCGTAGCTTGAAGCACACGGCGCCCACTTGGAGAACAATGGGTCGCAACTCGATCATCCCCGAACTTGACGAGCGAAAATTCAGGGGGTAGAAACCATTTGCGTTTTCTTCAATTAGTGCCTCTGGTTCCAGGGCCCAAACATAAATGACATTCCAATTGGCGACAGCAATACGGGTTCCCCGGTTAGAAAATGCGACGAGACTACCAAGTGAGTTTACCGGGTCCTGAAATCCCCAAAGCCGCGCGACTATCTTCCAGTCGGAAAACCGTCGCCCACGTTCAAGGTTTAAAACATGACCACAGTTGCGAGCTCGACAAAGAGCTTCGGATTTCAATAAACATGCCACAGTCCAATTTTCTTCTCGGTGTGTTGCTATTCCAAGAGTGAGATACTGCCAATGGCACATCCGATGGCCATTATGTAAACATGTCTCATGGTTCCCAAAGAAAGGGATCGCAATTGAGAAAAGAAGACTCAAGGAGTCCGAGAATTGCACCATGCACGAATTCTCGTGAAACTTTGGTTTGGTCGAGAAAGATGATGTATTAAGCCTCTGGAAAGACCCATACAGTGCCTGCGCTCGATAGTGATAGAGCAACTGGCTTGATCTGTCATTGAAAGTAAGGTCTGTAATGGGCCCCTTATCGTAGTGAAAGTGACTGTTGGATAATCTTGCTTGAAGAGACTCGCCATTATCGACGCGCTGGTCATTTTGATTTAAGAGAACACGAGAGTCATAGCTGAGCTCTATGCCGTGTCAGTAACGGTGGTTGGATTAAAAACAAAAGGCAGTCGATGGGGGAGGCAACGACAAAGTGTAACTAACCGACTATTCCTGATGCATCTTCACTTGACTCCGGAAGTAATGTGTATAGAATAATCTCGTTTTCGCTGCTCTCACGGACATGCTGCCAGGAAACCGCAAAGGTCCCTTGATCAGCAACAGCAAAAGCCAAAGGTTCGTAGTCGACGTGGTCTGGGAAAGCACACATCCGAACTCTGCCATGCGGATTCTTAGGCTCATGATGAACAAGATAAATCATTCCACTCGGACTCGATTGCAAGGCATGCTTGACGAATGGGTGCTCCGCGGCTGGATCATCTTCGTCTATCGTAGGCCTAAAACGTTGAAGAGTGTAAATACCGCCATCTCCATCAAAAGTCGTCTTGAGCACTTCTACTGCTCCTGTATGAGTCCACGGTGATTTCAGTGTGCCATTATAGGAAATTTCTTGGTCATCGATATGGAAGAGATGAACTTTGGGTTGGCCTCGGACAACAAGTACGAGTTTCAAGTCACCAGAAAGTGCAAGAGAAGAAGCTCGAACTTCAATCGCCTCTGTCTCGAAACGAAAAGTCTTGCAGTTGGCACGGAATTGGGCCCCGTATAATTGCTTGGACGAGCGTTCCATGAGTATTCGAAATAGTTGCTTGGTCTCGGACAACCCGACGTCTGGGTTCAACCCGGGTGTCTGGTATAGATGATGCAGAACAACTTCTCGGCAATTGGAGGCAATTTCATAAAGAGTTCGACAGGATAAAGAAGCCTGCAGGTATGTAGGTGTATTGGCATTTTGGAGCACGAGCTGGATAAGCTCTGGGGGAAGATTCAGGAGCATCGTTCAATCAGGTGCAGTTAACAGTAAATCTTTCGCAAGCAAGTATAGAGGATCATCTGACACCAAACTTATGCAACCCGGAATGATAAAAATCCCTGGCTGTGATCATATATCGTTCAAGAACAAATACTCAGACTGAGGTGGGCACTCTGGTAAAAATATATGTTGGTGGGGGGTCCAGTCTCCCAAGGCACCGACCGCCATTGTTGCCTGGCCGTGAAAAAGTTGTTGGTGTCGTATATGTCAGGTAGGTAGGAGAGTATCTAGGTAGTTAGGTAGCTAGGTTATAGGCAGAAGCATGGGCCAAACATGAGGCAGTACTTAGGTTGCCTACAAAGGTTAGTATGTTAAAAACTTTACAACAGATCATCAAAGGAATATGAATGATAAACCAATGGAATGTAGTTAGCCTCTATAGGTTTTGTCATCCATCATTATTGCACTTGATGAACTTTTCTTTTCTGCCCTCTATCATTTTATTAAGTCGATTCTTATCAAGACCGCATACTGGTATAATGTATTACCCCCCCCCTTTTTTTTTATTCTTTAATTTATTCTCTCTCTCTCTCTCTCTCTCTCTCTTTGCACCACTCTCCTGGCCGACAAAATACTAATAGAGCACAAATACAAATCAATTGAAATATATATTAACTCCCATCTCCTTCCCTCCCAACGCCCAATTCAGACTCAAATTAATAACGCCCAGGAATGCATACATGGATGCATGGCATAGCTAAAACCAGATCGTATAGCTAGATTATTTGCATGAGAACTGAGAATGTGAACCTGCCTGGTTTCATCCACGACAATGGGTATTGTGTATCATTGTTAATGCTTCAGATAAAAAGACGCTTCATTTACTCTGATCTAGCGTCTTCTGGCAGCTGCGAGACCACCCATTCTAAGACGCTTTCATAGCACAAAACGAACTGACTGAGGTTTTGTATCATACTCGGTCGTTGAGTTCGGAAATCTGCCACAGTCTTTGCAATGAGATCCAGTTTCTCATCGTGGATCCACCTGCCCTCGGGGTTTTCATGGGGAATCACGGGCAAATGCGCTTTGTTCTCTGAGCGCTGACGTTTGAGCATGTCTAGGACACTATCAACCGTGCAAAAAGTACCAGTGCGTCCACAGCCCGCACTGCAGTGTACCAAAACTGGCCGCTCACCCTTCGGTTCAGCATCATGGGCGCTGAACTTGATGTTGCTTGTTGTCCTAGTGACATAATCACACTGCTCAACTAATTTTAGAAGATGAGCGGGCTGCGAAGTAGTACCAAAGTCGGGCCAATACGGATATTGTAATTGTGTCACTTCTCGCAGTGGTTGGAATGGGAAAGCAGAGTGTGACAAGCCGAAGTGCCTGACAATGATGCATGGGTTTTCTGAGGTCTCATTTGTACGCTCATCAGAAAACTTCTCCGCATCCAGAGCTGGCATGCTAAGATCGGGGCTGTGCTGTTTTGAACCCGGCGAGTTCATATATATATGTCTTTGAGAAAAGTTTTTGACCTGAAGATGTCCATAATTTCCTGATTCCCAATAAGGATTACACTTGACTTGTCCTCTTTCAACTTCAGCGGTGAGGGAAATGATAAGCCTGACGTCTTGCTCCCAAACAACGCGCCAGAAATCCTGAGACATGTGTCAGAAATATGCGTACAAGAGCAATGCTAGAAACTCACATTGAAAGTGTCAGGAACAGGAGCTTGTGTAGCTATGTATGTTTTATTGCTATACTCAGCCTTCATGTGGTTTCCATTCACATAATCGCAGTCGCCATGGGGCACCCCCTTTAGCCGGACTCGGGAATGATCAAACGGATAGATATCATTGTATCTATTTTTCGTGCCTTTTTCAATTCCTGCGACGCGGAATTTCTTGGTCGAAGTATTATCGGCATATTTGTCATATGATAAAGCTTGCTTCATACGCTCTAGCTCTGTCTTTTCAAGACCCAAAAACTTCTCAGAGACATTTCGCCCTTTATCATAGGGGTCTGACGCTTCACGTAGCCAAAGAGGAAGGCGCTGCCTCCTCGATTCCGTTAATTGTTCTGGGACTTGGAGAGGCATTTGTCCGACACCGCCTACAAGATCCATATGCTGACGGATGTTTCCAAAAAAAGGAATGGTAGCAGAAGATGATTCTGGCAAGGCACAACCCCCAGCAATTGGAGCGACCGACGGAAGGCTAATATGCATTGAAGTTGGCTTCTTCGGAGACGAACCAGCCATCTGCGGCCCTTGCTGTTTCACTAGATTTGGGAAGCGGTTCAAAAAAGCCTTAAAACCACCACGAAGAAATGATCCATCACCACTCCATCCCTCGGCTGTAAATTTCTTTAATACGTTCAGGAGCGGTGCTGCGTCTTTCATATCGACCGTGGTGGCATCGTAAACAACAATATAGCGGCAATGTTTCCATCTCGCAAAACTTCTTTTATCGGCTTCATCTGTGAATGTGTTTCCAAGCTTTTGTACGTTAAAGGATGGACGCTTGAGTAGAGTTGTTGGGATGCAAAGATTCAACGCTCCTGTTATATTAGCCTGTGCAAAATGTGCATAAGGCCGCACATCCAGGAGCATGACATCATGCTGCACTGATTTAAGTAACTCCGCGCAGCGTTCAATTGAAACAGCGCTATTATTTTGAGGCGTCATCTGTCCCGAAGTCGCAGGAGGCTCATGGGAACCAAACTTCGGAGCCGCATAGTGAGAGGGGTGACCTGAGAGAAATGACTTGCGATCTTGTAGCCCCTCCTGAAGTCCTTGAGAAGGCTGATTGGGTATTGGGTGTGATGAATTCTGCGGCAACAAGCTGAATGACTGTGGGCGACTATCTGTGTTCTCCCCCGTTAAGGAATTCCTCTTGCTGTTGGGAAGAAATTTTTGGCCCAGATGAAGGGGGTGCGAGGATTTTTGTTCAGCAAGTCTTTGAGATTCGCAATTCCAGGGCAGGGCGTGGGTTACTGAGCCCTTATGCTCATCACTCCCAGGTTGTTTTTTCGGAAGATCCATATATCCTTCAAGCACAGTCTTCTGGGATAGCACCTGCGGTCTTGGACTAGAAGTAGATGTTTGATTGGATGCGAGAGTATCCCAGTTTAGTTTAGCATGAATCCCTTGTTTCGGGTTTGAAAAGCTGTTGGAATTTTCGACATTTATAGCAAAATAATTCGGGCTCGAGAGCTCAGGCGTAAGATGTGGATGGGGATTCGAATTGTGGGGAGACGAATTCGGATCTCGTTTTGGCAGTAGGGACGCTGGGGTCGAGGCATTGGCAACTTGATGGTTGGGTGACTCTTGAGGCCATGGAGATGAAGGTGAATGCCTCGGGCCTGTCATAGCAGACATCCTGTCCTCCGGGTCAAAGTCACGGATTTCAGACACACTTCTAAGAGCAGGGCCAGTTTTCCATATCGAGCTTAATACCTAAACAAGAAAAAGGTGCTCGGCGACTTTGAGGCCCGAGACTCTGCCTTTGGTCAAAATATGACCCAGAGCATGCAAGCCCGCAGATTAGTTCATGAAAGCCACACAATCACGAGAGGGAAACAACCCCAAACTCTCTAAATCGATATTCCAAGCGATTGAAGGAGTAATCCGGGTGACTGAGGGTTCAAGGACTGACTTCAAGAAGTGTTAGGAGTTGAGAATGTAGATGGCAAATATCTCACAGTCTGGTAACTGCTGTGCCAATAGAATGGGAAATGGGAGATAGAAGAGATAATGGGATGAACGCGATGAACAGACGAAATTCTGGCCAGAAGGGCAACTTTGCTCACATAAGGGGGGTCCCGATCGTACACCAGCAGTCAGTCACTGGGCCAATCGAAGGTTGGCAAAGAAGAGTGGGGGGAAGAGGGGGTTTGGTTGATATCACCGATCCACCGCCGCCAGTCGAAGCAGAGGAACGGGTTACAACCGAGAAATGTCTGACGGGGGAGGCGAATTATGGAGGGCGAAGAAATTTGAAAGTGGTGTCCTCTGGATATGACGTTATGGGGGTCGGTCGGAGGCGGCAAGGTGTGCAGAAAACCCCATGCTGCAGCGCCCGTTCTGGATCTCATTTCAAATAACCATAACTATCAAAGGAACCTGGAAGTGATCACAGTGGCAAGAGACCATAACCATTTACTATTTAGAGGGACTGTTATGTATGAAAAGGCGCCATGGATGTTGATTTATGGTTGTTATTATCTTTTAATTGTCTGGTTGATTAATTGATTTGAGTACCCATGTTGCTACCTACTTAGCTAAGTACATCCATACTAACTAATACATACCTACCTATTTCAAACCTGAATTATTTGTCCATAACTAGCCCACCTACTACCGGTAGTGATAGTGCTCCAGTCTGACGTAGTAACGTACATACAAGAGAATTCCCACAATTTCAACATTTCATAGCCTGCTCTGTTTCAATGATGTCAATATTTCGCTGCAGCGCCTGACTGCCTACCTAGTAGGTAGTACCTAGGAAGGTACCTACCTAGATCATTGGTCTTAGTTTACACACAGACAGACTGCTGCTCGAATTCCTCAGAAAAGCTTTTGCTTACTGGTCCCTTCCTACGTGAGCTATATTAAACTCAAAATCTCTCGAGTGTGCAAGTAACCAAATCCAATGTAAACTGGCAGGAGAAGAGATCTGTTCGGCACCACACTAGTACATGCATAGTGCTGTCTCTCCCAGGGTCACTATCTCTTACGGGGATATCGGGCACAAGACCGATTTATAGTTAGTTGACTTCCTGCGACAAATAGTCGCTATCATAATGGGTTTTATTTTATTTTATTTTATTTTATTTTATTTTATTTTATTTTCAGGTGTATTGTATATGTTCAGCCAAACTATGATAGGGCCTGGTATGTATCTGGGATTGGTTTCGTTTGACGAACACCACGCCAACTCGTTAAAAAAATCATCTGCGAATCAGGTATCAAAAGGGCGGCGGGTATGCCGGCTGCCACCGCTAATATGTTTTGGTAAAGTAGAATACAGTCGGGCTGGACAAAGGTAATTGGTTCTCCGGCAAACATAAAAAGCACTGGGATTGACCGATATAATATGATGTTCAAGGCCGAAGGAAATCGAGTCAAATCGAAAGATGTGGAACATGTATTCCGATATAAGTGATATTGGAGCAATACTGATTCAGAAATCAAAATGCAGTTTTACAGTTTCCCGTCTGGTTCGCCCTTGAACCTTTGGACGCGTTTCTGCTCCCAGTTGTCTAAATCTTTGGCCATAAGCCTCTGGGGAATATGTTAGTAACTCATTATAACGGAGTTTGATGACTAAGATAACCATCCTAGGAAGGGAATGAGACTCACATAGTATTCTTCTCGTTCATCTCCTATGATTCTTCGTCGTGGGTTTCTCTTGATCCCGTCTTCTCCGTCAGCGCCTTTGAGCCCGAGGTCCATGGCTTCCTCTTGAGTCATTTGCTGTACTTTCCGGTCATAGCGCTCGTATCTGAGAGCAGCAGCAGGTGTCAAAGCAAAAGATCCAGCGACGATAATTGCAACAAATGGAAGACCAAAAAGAAGGAACGGGTGGCTGGGTAGCTTGGATCTGTATACGGCACCAATGCGTTCTCCAAGAGACGACGATGCCGTTGTTGTACGCCGGAAAGTTTTGGCTTGAAAGACGGGCATTTTATAGCGGATTTGAAGAGGCCCAGCAGCTTATTGTCGCAAACCAATGTGGCATGATATAGGGCAGTGACCGGAAGGTTCAACCCCAAGCCTGAGGCAGAAATGATGAATGGAAGGAACTACTCCGTGGGGAGGAAACTGTCGGTAAAAAGATTATTCCGGTAAGCTGTCGATGGTGAATTTCGGATGTAGTGTTATGCCGCGACTTTATAAACAAGATTGTCAGGTAACAACCATAGAAAGAAGTCACTGACAGTATTCTTGACCACTTATTTCCTGATATCATTTATTTCTGAAAGGGTGAGAGTTATCCTATTCCAAGTTACTTAGCCCACTGTCAACAAAACACCCCCCCCTTCTTCTTGCACAACCATAGCTTGTGAAATAATATATTACAGAAATAATCACTATCTAACATTCTGGTTTTCTTAGAACTGAAACTGTGCTCAACTCGATGAATCCCACAAACACCAGCTCCTTGTTCGGGGGAGGTGGTCTAGGGGCCTCGACAACACCGCAGCAACCAGCGAGCATATTTTCTTCAAATAATCCAACGAGCTTATTAGGAAATAACTCAAACACCGAGGCTGCTCCAACAAACTCTCTTTTCGGGGCACAATCGCAAGCGCCACAACAATCCGCACGACCTCCTATTCAAACGACTCAGCCTGCATTTTTCAACAGCCTACTAGAACGTGGGAAAAAGAGACCATTGTCTGAAGTAGGGCAAAACAACAGCTTTGAAGAGCTACCCAGTCTTCAGCTGGGACTTGATGATATTCGGAGGAAAGCAAGAGAGCTTGGTACTGGTGGGCTCAAGGATTCCCACCAGCATGGTCCAAATACCAAGGCGTGAGTAACCATATGCCTCTATCTTGCTCATGCGTTCTAAGTGGACACTACTGATGTTTTTTTTTTGCTTTTGCATTTTGGGGTCTGCAGTCATTATCTGCTAGCCGCGTCAGGTATTTCACCAGGGCATGCATTACGGGACCTCAAAGCTTTGGACCCTCAAGCTTCCATTGCATTTCCTTCCAAAGAGCAAGAGATATTTGATCCAGATAATCAAAAGTTCTTGAGAAACATACAGCAACGTGGCCGACAAGTGATGGTCTCTGAAAGTCTTTCCAGGGCTCACAGGGATTTTGATACATTCTTGGAAGAAAAAGTGGACATGAACTGGGAGGAGCAGCGCCAGAAAATCTTCCAGCATTTTGGGCTAGCGCAGAAGGAAGACAATACGGAAGATTCCCTGGGGGCAACTGCACGGGGTTCATTTGGTCGTTCAACGAGACAAACCAAACAAATGGGGACCACAGCGCCCCAAGGTCCTTTGGGGATTTCTCGCAGGAGTGTTTTTGGACGCTCAGGCCTGGAAAAGTCGGTCATAGGAACTCCTGGTACTGGGCTGGCCAAGCCTCAGCTTTTCGAAGACTCCAGTGAACGCAACGACGGGCCAGGCACTCATGGTCCAGATGTCCGGTTTTTGCGGGAGAAAATGGGTCATTATGCCGATAAGGTTCAGCTTTTGAACTCCGCTAGACTCCAAGAGCGAACCTTCCCAATATTCCATGAATTTTCCGATGTTGAAAAGCATGCAGGTGGTGATGTAAGTTATAATACCAGAATTGTTTATTCAGATCAACTGATTTTCTTAAGGTCCCTCGTCAGTTGTTCGATGCCTATCAAGCCCTGATAAGCATCACTAAGGAGAACCCAAATATCGCAAGTTTTTCGGACCCTGGTGCCATACGGGAGCGACAGTTTTCTGAAGATTACCTTGACGAAACCCCTAATTCGCGCCGAGCTATTGGCCTAAGGAAAAGAGTTGTTGATGGGTCCAGATCATTCCTTGAAAGCATATTTTATCACGAGGTCGAAAATGTGATTGCCAAAAATCCTCGGGAAGCGCAACTTGGAGGCATACCGACGGTAATCAACAAGATTCGTGCTTACATTCGCCTTCGAGCTGCAAGAAAAGATCTTGCGCCTGACGGAACTGAGCTTCAAATGGTCGGTGAAGACTACTGCTGGATTCTCATATTCTACCTTCTTCGGTGTGGGTTTATTACCGAGGCGGCGGAGTATGTAAGTCAAGATCCTGGTTTCCGGTCACTGGATCACAAGTTCGTAACATATATGACAACTTATGCACAAAACCGACGACTACCGAGAGATTTGCAGCAGAAAATAAACGGCGAGTACCAACAGCGATCGCGTAATGCACCTGATAACACAGTTGATCCTTACCGAATGGCATGTTACAAGATTATTGGACGTTGTGAACTTAGCCGCAGACGCTTGGAAGGAGTGAACCAAAGCGTTGAAGACTGGATGTGGTTGCAGTTCAGCTTAGCCAGAGAGGACGATCGTGCCGAAGAAGTTGCGGGCGATGTTTTTGGCCTCGAAGACATTCAAACCGATATCACTGAAATCGGGCAACGGGTGTTCGGGAAGGGGCAGGAGGGTCCCGGTGGTTATGGAACTTTCTTCCTCTTACAAATCCTGGGAGGAATGTTCGAGCAGGCGGTTTCATACCTTGGCTCTTATGCCCCTGTCAGCGCCGTGCACTTTGCAGTTGCCTTGGCATACTACGGACTTCTGCGAGTGTCTGATTTCTATACATCAGGTGAAGAGATTTGTGAGTATCCCTATCTATATCAAGCCTGGATGCAGAGAACAAATGCTAACAGTTCATACAGTATCATTCACTGTGAAACAGTATCCACAGATAAATTTCGGCTATCTCATCACACAGTATACCCGGGAATTTCGCACTGGATATGTGGAGGCTGCCATAGATTACTTTTCTTTGTTATGTCTCAACGCTGACCTTCCGGGCGCTCTGGGCAAGTCTCAGGCTTCCGTCTGCCATGAGGCTTTACGAGAATTCATCTTAGAGACCAGGGACTTTGCCAAATTACTCGGCGACATACGATCCGACGGGACCAGAATAAAAGGCGCAATTGAACAACGACTCAGCTTGATCAAATTAATTGATCAAGAGCAATTCCTCAAAACCATTACAATTCAAGCCGCTGCTGTGGCTGATGACAAGGGCTTGGTAGCTGATGCGGTTCTCTTGTATCACCTCGCTGAGGATTACGATCGTGTTATTGATACAATCAACCGAGCGCTATCAGATGCTGTGGCTGTTGAGCTGGGAGGCTCTGTCTTAAAGTTGCAGCCTTTGCGTCCAAGGACAAACCCTAGCCAGGGCCTAGGACCCAGCGGCCCAGTGGAGCCTGGAAGCAGCCTCAGCTTGACAGCAGTCGAACATCCAGCTGATTTGGCAAAGAACATGATCGGTCTTTACAACACCAATGCTCTGTACTATCAACGAATCCGTCAAGTGAACCGTGACGCATGTGGTTTGTTACTTCGAATGATGGAGGCGAAGACAGAAGTAGAAGCGGGGAAGTGGACACCGGCCCTTGACGTAAGTTTCTTGTTTTCGTCTTTTCCTTGTATTCCTCAAATTTTCCCTTCTCTGATATTGGTGCAGGCTATCAACGAGTTGAACATCCTTCCCTTACGGGCCAGAGGCTCAGTTCCTTACACCCGAAGTGCAGCCCAAGCATTTTCATCGTTCCCGCCGATCATCTCCCGTAATGTTGGACATGTTATAATGTGGAGCATTACATGCATTGGTCACGAAAGGGAACGTTTGAGCTCTGGCGCATATGAAAATGAAATTAGGCAAGGTTTGGCAGATGAGCTTTTGGTTATGGCCAAAGATCTGATGATTTTCTCTGGCATGGTCAAATACAAACTACCACCAAGAGTCTACGATACTCTTGCTCGTGCCGGAGGGGAGATTGGGGCATATTAAGCACAGAGCAAGTTGCGACAAAACGATTCTGATGGAGGAAATACTAGCTGTACAATTATTCTGCACTTTTCTTTTTGAATGAATAATATCCCATCCAATAAGAGTTTAGGAATTTATGGTCACGTCAACTCTGGTCAATTTTTATTGCGTAGATACGGAGTATCTATGTACCTGAAGCGGACCTTTTCCGTGGAGTAGTGCCAAGCCGTATCCCACACCAGCAGTACGGAGTAGTTTGTACGTAGTTTGTATGTGTCAACGAGCGCGACAGACGCCGCATTCCACAAGCAGGACGCCCTCATTGACTGTGAGTTAACAATGTTCACATTCGACAGTCAATCCCACTGCTAATATAAAATTGGTATCTTTGGGCTATTTAGGCTACGAATGAACACTGACTCTACATAAACCAAGGCGGTCCATGGCTACATGCATTTCTGAGCTGTAAATCAACAGCGTGCCTCAGCGGAAATGGACCATGAGCTTTCGGAAGTGTCTGACTCTAGTATAAAGTCATCATCATCTGATCCTGATGTAGATTCCTCTCAGAACGAGGCAGCCCCAGCGCAGACAAAGGGCGGATTGGAAGCTGCATCAGATGGGGACATGGAAATGGCCGACGATAGCACCGCAACACAAGATCCGGCACCTCCGGGTGAATTACAGATTCAAAATGCGCATGATTCTATGGATGACCCCGGTCTACGAAATCTCCGGGTGGGGGCAGGAACAGAAATTGAACATTGCCCACCAAATAATACCACCGACCTATCGGGTGACCTCTCATACGAGATCGCCCGGCCCATGAACAGAGACACAAGCAGTTATAGCCTTTTCAACAATCCACCAAATCTTGCAAGGATACGTCAAGTGATGTTCGAATGCAAAGATCCCATTGAGATTAGTCTCGAAGAATTTGAGACTTACTGGCCGTTTATCGATAATGTTTGGGTTAAGCAGAGGTCTAATTCGAGCAAAGAGGGCCATTGCACTACAGACTACTACATGTGTCGTCTGCGGCGCCCAACTCACCGCACGTCAGAGACGCGTCCATTGCCAGAGGGCAAAAGGCCTCGGAAGAAGAGGGTGCGAGAAGGGGGGGTCTGCAACTTTCAGATTAAGGTCGTTAGGTTCGAAGGCGCATATTCAACAGTAACCATTGCGAGAACACCTGGTAGCAGCACCATACACTCTCATGATCTGGACCACATCGATAAAGTCAAGCGAAACTCGGGGCTGATGGAGTTTGCACGAAAGGAGGCGGTTAAAGGCTTTTTGCCTTCCTCTATCTATACGAAATTCCAGGACGAACCCGACAAACTCTCCGAAGCAGGAGGGAGGTTTTGCACTGTCACAGATGTTCGCAACGTGTCAGCGAAATGGCGAATACAAAATCCAGAAGTCAAGCTTGTACCACATGATGGCTATGAATACCAGAAAGGTCATGGGATTGTGAGAATCCAAGGTGCTGATGGTAATAAAGATGTAACACCCGGGCCAAGGCAACCCTTTACAGACCCGAACTCTCCATTACCACCGGATACGTTATCATTCCCTCAGTTTCCTCTAGAATTCCTGGAACCCTATCTCCCGAAACATGATGAAAGGCGCCAATTTCCACATGTTACATTGTCATACGCTTCTTCTATGGATTCAAAAATTTCACTGCTTCCAGGAATGCAGACAGTACTTTCAGGGCCAGAGGCAAAATTGATGACCCACTACTTGAGATCGCGCCACGATGCAATTCTGGTTGGAGTTGGGACTGTTCTTGCCGACAACCCGGGATTGAACTGTAGGCTCGAGGGGGCTGGTGGATATGGTGGACTTGGGAGGATGTGGCAACCACGACCTGTTGTAATCGATCCAACTGGAAGATGGCCTGTTCATCCCGAATGCCGAATGCTACGGACAGCGGTTGAAGGAAAGGGCAAAGCGCCTTGGGTTGTTGTGTCTCCAGGGGCTCAGATTCATCCTCAGAAGTTGATGATGTTGAAAGGTTATGGGGGCGACTTCCTTCGAATTGTGGAATACAACCAGAGCTGGCGGTTGCGCTGGGAAGCTGTTCTTCGTGCCTTAGCATCTGAAGGGATCAAGAGCGTTATGATCGAAGGCGGTGGGACAGTTCTTAGCGAGCTGTTGAATCCCGAATACACCGAGTTCATCGATTCTATCATTGTGACCGTTGCCCCCACGTATCTCGGCCGTGGTGGAGTGGTGGTGAGTCCAGATTCGAAACGCGATGAGCAGGGTAAACCCAATGCCGCTCTAAACCCCAGAGACGTGAAGTGGACGCCTTTAGGACAGAATGTAATCATGTGTGGGAAAATCCGAACACCTCCACCTGATCCACCTGAGACATGAAATATGGCCAATGCCGAAGGAAGGTAATAGAGATGGAATGTCACTGCGATTCATTGTGCTTCCGAGTGGCTTCATATACAAATTATTATACACGACTCTTTCCTACAGGATTGAATGAGGATAGACAGATGAGAATAATGATAATGTTCAATATCAATACAGAAGGGGGGAAATCATATGCGCAAGTCTAGATAGAAATGCTAGCTTTGCTGGTGACTGTATCCCTTATCTCGAACTATCCTCTGTGAAGACTGAAGAAGGACCCTACTCTGGTGCGTGGCACCACCGTGGTGTCTTAACTGATCCATCTCCACCTGGGAAACAAACTTACCTTCAAGCCTTTTTCCCTATTATTACTATTACTACTATGTACTATTACTATTTACGCTTATAATAGTAGCTTCAACGAACACTAAACGCCTATCAAATAGCATATCTACCAAGCTAGGTAGGATACATACAGACTCGGGGCACGACGGACCAAGCTACTTGTGGACTCCAGCAGAAGCCCGGAGTCCTCTGTTTATGATAAACCTGGATAATAAAAGACCATAATATGAATGAGAATCAGAATCAAACCTTAATAGGAGCATGTTCATTGTGATGCACTGTTTCGATCAGAATAATTGGTGGAATGTGGTCTCTTTGACATTCTGACAAACCCGTCCTAGCGCGTGCTGATTATTGCCCCCAACGCAACACAACAACAACAATAGGATCGCGTTTTTTCCCCTCTCCTTTCTTTCTTACCTTTTTTTTTTTTTTTTTTTTTTTTTTTTTTTCAACAAAAAAAATTTATTCCCCCCCCCCATTTTCTCCCATTTTTTCTTTTTTAGAATCTCTCCATCTGTTTCTATTTCAACTTTCTTCTTGACATTCCAAGTCGTTTCGAAGAAACGCGCAACCATGCCGCCAAAAAAAGCTGCGGGTGCTGCACCCAAGGCCGCGAAAGCTTCCACCACAACCAAGGCTACCGCTACAAAGAAAGCCACCGTCACAACCACCAAGGGGCGCCCTGCAAAAACCAGCACTGGTGATAAAAAGACCACCACAGTGAAATCGACTAGTGCTACAAAAACTGCTCCGACGAAACCGCGCGGATCGAAGACCGCTAGTACCGTACTCGCTGCACCTACTAAGAAGCGCAAGGCTGTTGCTAGCGATGAGGAGCTGGCACGTGAACCGAAAAAGGCTCGTGTAATTCAGCCTCGTGTTATTAAACCAAAGCCAAAGGTTGTCATCAACCAAGCACCGACCACTCGACTGAACGTATATGTTTGCGGTGAGGGTAGCTCGGGCGAACTCGGTCTTGGGGCCGCAAAAAATGCCATTGATGTGAAGCGGCCGCGCTTGAACCCACATTTGCCTGCAGACAAGGTGGGTGTTGTGCAGGTTGCAGCGGGTGGCATGCACTGTGTCGCCCTTACACATGACAACAAGATCCTTACTTGGGGCGTCAACGACCAAGGCGCACTCGGGAGAGATACTGCTTGGGAAGGCGGTTACAAAGATATTGACGACAACAAGAGCGATTCCGATTCGGATGACGACGATAGTGGACTCAATCCCCACGAGTCGACTCCGACTGCCATTCCATGCGAATCGTTCCCGGACGGCACCGTCTTCGTTGAAGTTGCTGCTGGGGACAGCTCAAGTTTCGCTTTAACCGATGAAGGCCAGGTCTATGGCTGGGGAACATTCAGAGTATGACTCCGACCTTCCTGTTGAGTGGATACGAATGAAACTAACGGCGCTACAGAGTAACGATGGAATTTTGGGGTTCGACGCCACCAATAAAGTTCAATTGACTCCAACTCTCCTCCCATCCTTGAAAAAGATCAAACATCTGGCCTGTGGCGATAATCATGTTCTCGCTTTGAATGACAAAGGCGCTGTCTTCTCTTGGGGGTCAGGCCAGCAAAACCAATTGGGTCGTCGTATCATTGAACGTAATAAGCTGAACGGTCTTCAACCGAGGGAATTTGGTCTGCCAAAGAACATTGTGCACATCAGTTGCGGTGCTTTCCATTCATTCGCTGTGCATGCATCTGGTAAGGTTTATGCCTGGGGTCTGAACAGCTTCGGGGAAACAGGCATACGAGAAAGCGCCGGTGACGATGAAGCTGCTATTGTGCATCCCACGGTTGTAGGACCGCTGTCTGAAAAGAAGATCACTCAACTTTGTGGTGGGGCTCATCATTCTCTTGGCATCACGGATGACGGGCAGTGCCTTGTATGGGGTCGGATAGACGGTTACCAGACCGGCCTGAAGATTGACACACTACCTGATAACGTCGTTATCAAGGACGAGCGTGGACGCCCCAGAATCCTGATCGAGCCCACACCAGTCCCTGGGATAAACGCAAAATTTGTCGCAGCTGGCTCAGACCATTCCATTGTCATTGACGCTGAAGGCCGTCCCTGGTCTTGGGGCTTCTCTGCCACATATCAGACAGGACAGGGTACGCAAGATGATATTGAGGTAGCAACCATTATCGAAAACACAGCTGTCCGTGGCAAGCAGTTGAACTGGTCTGGTGCTGGTGGGCAGTTCTCGGTTTTGACGGAGCCTGCAAATGTCTAAGTAAATGTAAAATAACGCAACGCGCATTTTTGCTATTTCTCTTTTGAGTCATCATGTGCAGCATGTACCACCAGACTTGTACTAGTCAATTTTACTAGATCACCCTTAATAATAATACTTAAGTTTATAATAGACATTGGTTTATCCTGCTTTAAAGATGATTGGGGACAACTGGGGTATCCATCCAAAAATTTGGGGGGTTCTCTGGATGATCAGTTATTTATCTGATAAATCAAAGAACAAGCGAACGAGACTAAGGGGGAAAGGCGTCATTCCCGATTAGACATTTGGTTAGCTCAGATGCATGATAAGCTTTGTCATGGACTATGTATGTCAATATTATGTCAATTAAATACGGAGCCTAGAGTCTCTAGTTCATTCATTGCTTCAAGTTCATCATCCTCATCAAATCTCTTGCCATTTGCTGGTAACCCGGCTTCTGAAATGGTTGGGAGTTTGTGAAATTCAGGATCTCCACTCTCATGCTCGTTCAAGAGAGCATCCAGTTCATCGTCTCCAGGCATAGCTTGCTCTAATCCCTGCTGGACATCTCTGTCTTTGTGTGGCATGAAAAGTTCCTGATCCGCCAGGTTTTGTTCTCCGGTCTGTCGTCGCATCTCCGAAGGCTCACCAGAAAACACTGGCGATTCCCCCGCTAGGACTCCATCCATGTCTGGCGGGAAATTTTTATTGACGTTTGTGAAACTCGGGTTGTAAAAATCATTTATAGCTGCATCGTCAGGACGTTCACTGACTGAATGGCTCTCTGGTGTATTCTGACGGTTATCAGTCTGTGTTTTTGGCTTTTCTTCTTCGATCCATTCCCTTCGCATAGTTTGTAGTCGTTTGGAATGCCCCAATTTCTCTATCATAGCTAGGCCATCGGCAAATTTGGCACGCGGGAACAGATCATCAAGCCACAGCTGATAAAAATTGAGTAGGCGTGCAGCATCAGAGAACTGTGTTTGAATTGTGTTAGTTACTATTCTGAGAAAGCGACGGGCACAAAGAAAAAAGAAAAGAAAAGAAAAAAAACATCAGACCTCATGCCCTTTGCCCTTAAGCTTCAACTTCGCTTTAGCTGCGTGACGTAATTTTGAGATTCCACGCTGTGAAAGCAATCTTTCAACAGTAATCAGTATAATCACACAAATCCAATGTTCTTACTGCTTCACTTACCGGTTTTCGTCTAATTTAGCAACAGGTTGTCGTTTTTTAGAAACTTTAACCTCTTCGTCCAGACCCAGTCCTAAACCAGAAGCTTCAGGCGCCACAGACGGCTTAGGAGCATTTGCATTCGATTTCGATGGGGCCTCTTGCAAGATATCGTCTAGTCCAACATCGTAGTCAAAAAGATCATCTAAGTGATCCAATGAGGATGTCTGTAAAAGCTCTGATTTGTCTTCCTCCATTGTAGGCAAAAATGCAATTAATGGCAGTTGCTGTAGTTGCCAGAAATTAACGCAGCCTTAAGTATTAACGGACCAAGGTCATAGAGCAGGGAATTAAACAACGGGAGATCCTATAGGTATGGGGTCTCTGGAAGGAATAAGGATCAACCAGTCCACGAGGGCTCGGTACTGTATATCTAACGAATAACTTACTTGGGTGCCTACGCGTAGGGGAACGCGGGCTGCAATTAATCCATTGTGGTACTAGTGTGGATTACATAATATGTACTAGCCATATTCATCACTCTGTGCTTGTATCAAGGCGGAATAGTAATTCTAGATTTTGATTGGTCAGAAAATAATAGATCTTCATCACAAAGCTTCTTTAGTAAGCATGTCTTTGAACTAATCCTTAATTGGAAACAACCGTGCTTAGCACAACTCCTCTCCTCCGAGTCCAACTCCGTCGCAGCGGAACCAATTCAGCCAGTCCAGTCAATTTAGAACACTTCTTAATCTGCAAACTCGTCAGAATGGCGACTGACCACAAGACGGCGGTTGTGCCTCCGAAGCGGGCCAATACCGACTACCCGGTGCGATATCTCTACAACTCTAACCAATGAAGACAGAATCTTGTTGCTAATTCATATCCTCCAGCTTATTGACTCCGACCCGTAAGTTTCTTTCAAGGCTAGATTATTCGGGGATACTGACACAACACTAGGCACCTGAGAAGAGTTTTCGGATACGCCAGGCCTTCTGATTATGCAGTCGCCGGGGGCATGGCTGCTACTTCTCCGCTCGCATTCTGGATTATGGAGAGAGTGAGCCCGTCTCATGTGGGCAGGGGAGGCTTTGCCCCCGTTATGCGACTAGCAACAGCTATTGGTCTAGTCGGTGGGCTCCATGTGCTCTATCAGCAATCTTGCCGTATGTCAACATTGGGATATGCAAGTACCACTGTCGTTATAGCCTTTTCGCTTACAATATCATAGAGCGCTTTTACGGATTTACAGAAAACTCGAGAGAAGTCGAAATGGACATGAGGGAGATGGTTGATAAGGTCAAAAAGGGCGAGCCGCTTTACGGCAACTCACAAGTGTCCTCCTACCTACAGGGTGTGGCTGCCAGGAACTCCCGGTATTCAGAGCTTTTCATCCACGTTCTCCCATGGTTTAACATTGTCAACCACGACCAGGTATGTTAAACTGGGGATTGCCCCAGTGATCTGCCCCCACCCCGGGAGAAAGGTGAATCTAACATTAGAATAGCATGGTGTTGACACCGCCAAGTACTACCAGCAAGCTGAGAGGGAGTTTGAGGCAGAGCGCAAGGCGAAGGCCGGCTCTAGTTGAAGCACTGATGCTTTCAAATCTAAGCAGCACTGAAAATCACAAGCATCAACGTTGAATCATCTATTGTTAAGTCTTGTACACTTACTTATTACTCCTGGCGCAATTGTTGATTGATAAATACAAAGCTTCCCTTTGGCATCGCACTTCCTACTACCCGACAATTCAGTCACCCTTGTAGTAACGACTCATCTCTGATATCAATAGAAAAACTGCCTAAGTTTCTTGGATCATATATGGTGAAATCGGTTGCATTTATGCGCTAGAACGCATGCCCAAGACTTCTGGTATCATTTTCAAAAGTTGTGTTCAGCTCTCGATTCTTTTTCGGCCGAGGCTTCGGTGCTATTGATCGATTAGACAGTGCCTGGCAGTTTCATGCTGGACTTCGAATGTACCTCTATCATTTTCTTGTATATAGAAACGCCGAAGTAACATGACTGCCTCTTTGTGAAACAATCCCCCATGTACGGGGTAAGGCGGGTCAATTGTGGGACTACAAGGTCAGTCTTGATTTCAACATTAAAGACAGAAATACCAGATAACAACATACTCAGAATGCAATGATAGCACGCTCCCTGTGCCACCAAAACGTTCATTGGCACAGCCAAAATACACAGCGCGTATTTGATACTGCTTCAAAGCAGAGGCACACATGACACATGGCTCAACTGTGACGTAGAGGTCTGTCGAATTCAGTGATGACCTGGGATAGCTTCGGAGCATCTCTTCGATTGCAATAAATTCAGCATGTTTTGTGCCCTAATCACGGTGAGCCAAAGAAGAGAGTGAAATCAACTAAGAATGTTTTATGGCTTGGAATCTGTCTACCTGCCCTCCCTTCCAGGACTAGGTCAGACGAAAGAGATTATTTGTTTTCGGTTTGTCTTTCTTTTTCTTTGTTCTTTGAAATTAAGCACTATCAAGACACTTACATTCATTGACCTATTAGTGTCATTCATCCCGGACCCAACAATTTTACCATTGTATACCAAAACACATCCCACTGGGGTTTCTCCTGTTTGAAGTGCTTTCTCGCCCTGTATAATAATAAGCCTCATCTGCAGTAGATACAAAACACACAATGACGGTACCATCAGCAGTGCCTGCTTCATGAAATAGTCATGTTTGGAATCCATATTCTCTGCATTTATCAACCCCTCAATGACCCGGATTCTTTCAACCAGCCAGTATATCTAGATGCAGTCAATTCGAGAGACTAGAAATGCCCAAGCCCCCTATGTGATTACCTGCTTCCAGTTGTGTCTTTCTAAATATCTTAGAATAACCTTGGGTTATCAGCACTACGTGAGGTAGGTTAGTGGTTGACGTCAGATGGATTGTATGGCGATGAAAAGAAAAAAAAAATTAGCCGAAGCCGAAACATTAAACAGGTAGGTAAGTACCTAGAAAATGAATAGTTTAGAAAATAGCTGGGAGAAGTCCATTTTATGAAAAAGAAAGAAAGAATAGATCGGGGGAGAAGGTGGGGAAAAAAAGAAAAAGAAAAAGACAGTAAACTGTCAATCTGATCTCCCTTAAGTTCTAGGCACCTATGGATGTACCTAGGACTACCTAGGTAGGTAGTTTCTTTAATATTCTACTTCGCCTTCTCGTATCACTGTTACACGTGATGAGTACCTACCTACGTATTTAGGTTCCTACCTACAAGAAAAGGGCGGCGCATAAATGCGCCGCGGACTTTTCTGAAGATATTAGGCCAGTTGTCAGCTGTTAGGGGAAGCATAAGCGTCAGAGGGGGGGTTCGTAAGGGACATAGGCAGAAGGCGGTGTAGTGCTTGTCGGCCGGTTCGGCAGAACTTCTTACGTTTATATGCTGGTTCATCGCTTCTCAACCATAATTTGTGCATCAACTCAAGGTCTAAACATCGAAATCTGGAGACTATGCTTGATTGTATCCCATATGGCAACTGATGAGGCCCAGGGATCTCAATATCCCGTGTTATTAGGGAATGGTGGTTGGAGATTTGCAGAACCGGCTTCATCTATCCTAGCAGCGCAACTCGCGCCGCGTCTCTCTTCCCAAGGAGAACAAACACGCCATTTAACGCGAGAAACGTTTTCACAACTCCGCCAAGAGCTCGCGGGAGGAAAATATAGTCAGCTGCGCCTTGATGATAGTGTCACTGATGTTAACAAGTTAATCTGTATTGTTTTGAAGGCTGGTTTGGATCCAGCTCGCAAAGATGAAAGGTCGAGTATGGAAGACCTGGAGCGACAGATCCTAGACTGTCTCGAAATCATTCAAACGGCAGTTGAAAAAGCCCCTCAAGCCTTGATTGAAAGACCTGACCCGGAGATTCTGGGGCAAACCTCACAAGCACCGTTATTCACATGGGTAATCGTGCGCTTAATCGATCTGCTCGGTGCTCGGGACTGGGACTGGGAGAAGATCGGAGGGGGAATTAGCAGCACTGTCGCAAGCATAGTCTCCTCCCAGTACAAGCAGGTCAAGCCATTGGCTTTTTGTCATTCTATTCCTGCATTCTTGAGAACCTGTGCAACAGGTTGGTGAGATTTCTAGAAGTGTGCAGAACACACCAAACTAATCAGATCCAGATATCTTACTTTCTATCGAAGGACTAAGTCCTCTAAGGTTGCGAGATCTAAGTCCGGTCAAGCTGTCTGTGCCCACTTTGCAAGGGTCTCTATTCGTAGATCTAGACAGACTCAACCTCCCTCGTGAACTTTTCGGAAAGAAAGTTTCACTCGGAAAATTCCCCCAGGCTGTCATCTTAGCTATTCGATTGCTGGACTGTCTCGGCCCGAATAATCAAGCCAGCCCCTTCTTGAAGAACAATGACTCTATTCCGCGGCAAAATTTGGCCTGGGTCTTAAATGGATACCAGCGCCTGTGGAAGGTCATCCTCAGTTGGCTACAGGACAGCAGATCGGATGGACTTGAAAGCAAAACGCGGGTCACCTTGCAGTTCCTAACATGCATAAAAAGGTATTGCGACGACGGGCCGTCTATATCGGGCTTTTTGTCCACAGATATGGAACTGACAAGTACTTGGCTTCAATGCTTAAGTGAAGTACTCACGTTAAACACTCTCGTTCAAATGCCTTCTCTTCAGCTTGAAATGAACCACTTTATTGTCAGTCTTACCAAGGCTGTTAGAGTATCGGAATTATTGGCGAAAGCTTTGGAGAATACGTTTTTGCAAGCATTGATCGGAGCAACCAAGGACACCGCATTTAACTCTCTTAATCCACGTCTTCAGGTAGTCAGATCAATGATCGAATGCAATAAAATCATTCCATTACTAACAGGACTCTAGAACTCAATACGAGGATTGCTTGAAGAATTTGCAAATATAAACCTCACAAATCCTGGGGCAAATCAAAAGTCCTCCACCATTGACGTGATAGACTTTTCGAAACCACTCAGTGACATTGGACAATTTGGGGTTACAAGTCAAACGGTTCAAAGCGAAAATTCTCGTGCATCGAAGCGTATTTGTCTCTCGCGGCTTCATGTTGGATTGGAACCACAGAATATGTTACAGCAACTCATAAACAAGTCATTGACATTGCTCCATGCTAAGAGTTCCGAGAAACTAGAAGATTTGAGTTTTGCTATTTCGTGAGTTTCTCGCCTAAGTGATGACGCACGGATACTAACCTATAGCATCAAAGCAATTCATTCGCAGGGCTTCCTGAACAAGAAAAATACGAAGTCATGGTTGCCCTTGGCAGAATCCCGTGTGCCATGACCAAAAATTGGTCGAAAAGACCTCCGGGCATTGTCTCGAAAGACTTAATTGTCTGTCAAGCCTGTGACTACGAAGACCATGGGGATGAGACCAAGTCAAATCGGCAACGTGCTGATGTCGACGAACTATGGAATATTTTTCAAAACATCTTACCTCATCTTACGCGTTCCCCAAGCATCAGGATAACCGCGATGATTGCATTGAAAAGAGCTCTTGTGCATGCATCAAAGTCTAGTCAAGTGCGCCTCGCGTCATCGGTTTTTGGCGAGTTTTGTTTACACTCACTGCGAAGCTCTAATAGAGAGTTGCGGATTGTCACTGGGTATGATCTATATGCGCGCACGGTCATACTAGTCATGCACTTTGATTTCAATACTGACACATTCAAAGACAAACAGTGATAGCTTTCGCCCGCAGAAGTATAGACTCTGAAATTCGCAGAAGCAACTTCGTCATCATCCTAGACTGGCTGAAAAACCTATCTGAGAAGCAAGAAACCTCGCTTCACGAGACTTGCATCCTGACTTTATGTCGACTTGCCAGGTACGCACTAGGGCTTTTCGAAAAAACGCTAAGTTATAAACTGACGCGGTCTAACATCGTAGAATTTCCGACGACGAGGAAATGAATATAATTCTCCTTCGACTAATGGAATACTTGGGCCATGCAAACCCATTTGTTTGCGCAGTAGCTTATACCGAAGTATGTGTATATTGATACCGCCTTCCACCCTCATTTCATTGCTCTATTATGATTATGTGTGCGTCTTGTGCTCTTTACCGTTGCCGAGGACTGATAAATATTAGCTTTCAAAACTTGCGCAGCAACTTTCTGTGACACCTGCCGGTTTATTCCGGCCTTTTTGGAGAACTCTTTCTGTGATGGTAGTGAAAAATCTCCAATCTCGCCCATACATGGCAGAACAACTCTGTGATCTTATTGGGATGAAAGTAGATGATTTCCTTAGATTGACGGAGCTTTATGTATTGCCATACCTGGTACTCACGCGAAAACGAGACATCATCTCTAGGATTGGGGCGACTTATAAAGATGCTAAATCACCTTTCGATGTCTGCTCGGAGAAGAATAACCTGGCGGCGATTCTTGGTTTCTTATTGAGTCAACCGTCGCCAGACCCCGAGGGTATGATAATGTCGGTTTTGGCAGATATAGACCCTGCATTCAAAGGCCGTACTTTGGCGGAGCTGGTAAGGACCGAACCGATTCTCATTGCCTGTGATCTCTTGAAAGGCCTTGTAGACTCGGGAGGTGAGAAAGCAGCAAGGGTAAGTGAATGACTTGTCCTGTTTGAAGAATGACCTTTTGTGCTAACATTCAGTTGAGTTTCACCGGGCGCTTCACCTTTTGGCGGCACTCGTTCCACGGAAGTCAATCCAGGGAGGTACATCAAAGAAGGCAAATTTACTGGGTCATTTTATCGAGGAACATGTTCTCGGTATAATCACGCAATTCGCCCATTCCATCAATGACTTTCAGATAAGACAACCTTTGGTTGAAAAGAAGAGGAATATAATAGCAATTGGAGAAATGATTAAGATCGCTCGAGATCATGTTAGCAGTGCATTACCACAGGTTTGTGATTATTCTTGTACATCCAGCTAGTGAAAGCTAAAAATTTCAGATATGCGCATGTCTACGATCTGCTCTCGATATCAAAGAGCTATGCGACTATGCTTTTACAGCCTGGGGGGTATTAATCAGTTCCCTGCATGAGGAGGTTGGGCCTCTGATTGACCAAACACTGGCAATTGTGATTAGGTACTGGGAAAAGTTTTCTGGGGAGAGCAGGAAATATGCATATGAACTTGTTGAGCACATTTTAAAGGGCCACAATGACCTGGTGCAAAAGACATTTGATACTATGCCTTCCCTAGCATCAATTCCAGAGATGACCAAATTCGAGGTTGAGATGAATGAGCTTAAAGGGCAGATGGATGTGCGCAGTCACTTTTCAGCATTTATCTACCGCTGCCAGAGTGAAAATGCAACTGTTGTTGAACAGGCTCTAAGAGAGCTAGTACCTTATCTTTCGAAAAATGAAGAGTTTCTTCATGGGTCTGTTCTTAGTGAACAACCAGACCCTGTTGTTGCACAATTGACACAATCTGTACTTGACTGCTGTGTGAAGTTCAGCACAAGTTCAGATACCATCACTCTTCTGGCATCGAGATGTTTGGGTCTTATTGGTTGTTTAGATCCAAATCGAGTCGATTCAGTTAAGGAAAAGAAGGACATTCTTGTTCTGTCAAATTTTGATAGAATGGAAGAAACTTTCGACTTCATCCTTTTCTTCCTCCAGCATGTGCTTATTGAAGCCTTTTTGTCCGCCTCGAACACCAGGGCTCAGGGATTTCTAGCATACGCCATGCAAAACTTACTTAGGCTTTGCAATTTAGATTCAGTCGCCACTCAGCGTTCTCGCGACTTTCAGGCAGATGAAAAATATCGTCGATGGATGGAGCTTCCCGAAACAGTTCGCAACATCCTTACTCCGTTTCTCACGTCGAAGTATACGGTCACTGTTGGTGCGGTTAATTTAAATTGCATATATCCGCTTTTCTCCGCTGAACTGACTCATGGCGAATGGCTACGGACTTTCGTGCAAGATCTATTGCAGAGAGGGAGTGGTGACAATACTCGACTAATTTTTAGTGTTTGTAGTCGCATTGTTAAGGGTCAGGACATCTCAATTGCGTCTTTTCTCCTGCCGTTTGCGGTCCTCAATCGCATAATTGGGGGCACCGAAGAAGAGAACCTAGATTTACGAAGAGAGTTGACCAGTGTCTTATCGCATCCTCTTTCTGATGCCAACAATCATTTCCACGAGGCCATCATACTCTCTAGTCAAGTGAGTTCCTCTATATATCCATTGCAACATGGACACTAATTCCATTGTTTCGGATGTAGAGCGTTTTCGAAGTCCTAGACTATTTGTCACGGTGGTTACAAGGCAAGAAAAAGCAGCTTAACAGCCTAAGAAACCACGGGTTTCACGTTAGTCGTGGGCATAAGGAGACTCCCCGTGATTCTCTCGCGGATGCCTATTCATCTCATATAAAAGCCGTGGAATCACTTTTAGCTTCAATACCACCAGAAGTCATCTCTAAAAGGGCAGTTGAATGCGGGTCATTTTCTCGAGCACTTTTTCATTGGGAGCAATACATTCGACAGTGCAAAGGCCTTTTGTCCAAACAAGAACGCAGCCAACTCGAGCCTCTTTATCGTCGTCTGCAGGATATTTATAGTCAGATAGACGAACCTGACGGTATTGAGGGCATTTCAACACATCTGCATGTGCTTAACATAGAACAACAGGTCCTTGAGCATCGAAAGGCGGGCAGATGGGCTACTGCACAAAGCTGGTATGAATTACAGCTCGAAAAAGAGCCCGATAACAGTGATGCTCAATGGAATCTCCTTACATGTCTCAAAGAATCGGGCCAACAAGGTACCTGTCCATCCAATGGCTTTCTAGCATGCGACGATTCACTAATAATTTGTAGATGCTATTCTCACTCGATTTGAAACCCTCAAGGAAAATAACTCTGTGCTCTCTAAATTACTACCATTTGCTGTTGAAGCATCGTGGATTACAGGGAGGTGGGAAAAACTGGACAATTATCTTCAACTGTGTTCGAACCAAAGTACGGGAGATTTCAACATTGGCATTGGATCAGCCCTTATTGCGTTCCGTCAAGGGAATAAAGCGGCGTTTGAAGAAATCATCAATGGCCTGCGGCTCAATGTTGCGAAGTCCTTGACTGCCAATTCCGTCACATCATTGCAGTCATGCCATGATAGTATCCTTAGACTACATGCTTTGGCGGAAGTGGAATCCATAGTCGATCCTGGCAACGGGGAGGATGATTCTCGCTTGTGTGTCCGTGGCGCATTGAACCGTCGTCTGGACGTCCTCGGGGGTTATATCTGTGACAAACAATACCTTCTCGGATTAAGAAGGGCCGCCATGGAGTTAGCGTAAGCCTTTGAATTAGAGCTATTATATAGCTTGCTGACACAATATTAGGGGAAACTTTTCGGATTCTGATATCGCTGCGGCTTGGCTTACTAGTGCACGTCTTTCGCGAAAAGGCAATTTCACTAACCAGGCGTATCATTCGATGCTCCATGCAGCCCGTTTGAAAGATCGATCTGCTACTATTGAACATGCTCGACTTCTTTGGAAAGATGGCCATCATCGAAAAGCAATTCAAACTCTTAAGGGTGCGATAGCTGCTAACGAATTTGCTTCAGGTGCTATCCCATCAGGCGGCGCGGAGCGACTGTCGCTGGCTTCAAATTATGAACAGCATCAAAATATGCTCGCTGCTAGAGTGCGCTTCCTGCCCATGGTTCATATTGAAAATCCCTCGAGCTAACGCACCTAGGCACATTTATTGTTAGCAAAATGGACAGATAGAGCCGGGCAAACCCAATCCGATGTCATTGTCCAGAGATATCGAGAAGCGATTAAACTTCACACGAGGTATCTACACAACAAAATTTACTTTTGATCTAAATTGACAGCCAAAAGGTGGGAAAAGGCACACTATTACCTAGGGAAACATTACAATAAAATTTTGGAGTCTGAAAAAGGCAAGCCTTTGGGTAGAGAGGCGCAGATATAGTAAGTTGCCTAGTTCCTGTGTTCGAGTTGGTCCGTAGCTAATAACCCCAGCTTGAGCGGCGAAGCATCAAAATTGGTCATCGACAATTACCTTCGTTCATTGGCACACGGAAACAAATACGTCTTTCAGACATTGCCGAAAGTGCTGACACTGTGGCTCGAGCATGCCTCCACGGTTGATCAACCGTTTGATCCAAAGAGGGGAGATAACGAGTAAGAAACTAACCATTCCTAGCTTGCTGGGTTGCTAAAGGACGTAACAATGTAGGGAGTTTCAAAGACATACTTTGGGTCAACGGAAAAAAAGCCTCGATGATATGCATTCGCAGTTGAAAAAATATATGAACCGGATGCCCGCTACTTTGGTAGGCATATCGTCACATGCTTCGAACGAACCACGATATGCTGACAATCTTAGCTGTTCACGATTCTCCCTCAATTAGTTGCTCGAATTTGCCATACCAATACTGCGGTCTACGAGTTATTGACAAGAATTGTAGCCAAGGCAGTTCAAGCTTTCCCCCAGCAAGGACTATGGACAGTCCTTGCTGTGGTCAAGTCTTCTTCTAAAGACCGAGCGTCCAGGGGTATTAGCTGCCTGCACAAAATCACAGTAAGCTGAAAGCTCCAAAAATAACCGCCCAAAAAACTGAATCAAACAGGAGGTGAACAAGAAATTGAAGACAGAGTCCTCTTCAGAAATGCGCGCGATGATAAACCAAGGCCAGAAGTTCTCGGAGGAAATGCTTAGATTATGCATTGCGCGGATTGAGGATAAAGCTTCCAGAATTAACCTGGCACGACATCTTGGGTTCAACCACCGGGTTGCTCCTTGTCGTCTTGTTGTGCCGTTTCAGGCGATGTTGACTCCCAGTCTACCAGCCAGTCATGATTCTGAATACCTGAAGGGGTTTAGGCCTTTTCCCCGAGACCCCACGACTATAGATGGTATGTTGCTATATCATTATATATCGTAAACTAAATTAACTATTTTAGCCATACTGGACGAAGCCCAGGTTCTAAGTTCACTTCAAAAACCACGGAAGATCGGCATTCGAGGTTCAGATGGGAAGATATACAATCTTCTATGTAAACCTAAAGATGATCTGCGGAAGGATCAACGCCTGATGGAGTTTAATAATATGATCAATAGGTTTCTGAAGAAAGATGTCGAGTCAAGCAAACGGCGCATGTGTAAGTCTTTCACTACAGAAGTTCATTACTATCACTAATCGAGAAAAAGACATAAAGACATATGCTGTGACGCCTCTCAATGAAGAATGTGGGCTGATAGAGTGGGTTGATAACCTAAGGACACTGAGAGAGCTTGTCATTAAGCTGCTACGAGAAAGAGCAATTACACCAAATGTGCGGTGGTTTTTGGATTCCTATACTTTTGCCGGTACTAATACATTCTACAGTATAATGAAATAAGGCAATATCTCAACGAGGCGTGTTCGGATAACTCAAAGCTGCCGTTATTTACAACCAAAGTGCTAGCAAAGTAAATTCTTATAACATTCCACCTACCACTTCAAGACACTAATGTGAAACAGATTCCCCCCGGTCTTACATGAGTGGTTTGTTGAAATGTTTCCGGAAACAGGCACATGGTTTGCCGCACGACTAAGATATACGCGGTCTTGTGCTGTTATGTCGATGGTTGGGTATGTTCTAGGGTATGCTCTCCTCTCCCCCAAACTCTTTTTTTTTTTTTTTTTTTTTTTTTTTTGCCGTTGACAGCTCTCTGAGTTGAAATCTGCTCCAGACTAGGAGATCGACATGGTGAAAACATCCTATTCGAGGAAGGCACAGGTGGTGTTTTACATGTTGACTTCAACTGTCTTTTCGACAAGGTAAAACATACCTTTCTCAAGCCTGCCTACTTTGGCTGACTGGTCTAGGGTTTAACATTTGATAAACCTGAATTGGTCCCGTTTCGTCTCACCCATAACATGATTGATGCCTTCGGTGCCTACGGATATAACGGTTTGTGTTTGCATGGCCTAACTAAGAACATGAATTTTGACTATTTTCAAAGGTCCATTTCGAAGAACATGTGAGATCAGTCTTGGCCTTTTGAGACAAAATGAGGATGGCCTTATGACTATACTGGAGACATTTCTACACGACCCTACAACAGATTTCATTGGGAAGAAGGTGAGCCATTGAACGAACATGGCCAAATATCTTACAATCGTGCTAATCGGTACATGAAGCGCCGTACCCATGCAAGTGTTCCAGATACGCCCGCTGGCGTCTTAGAAAATGTGCGTAACAAGCTCCGGGGTCTTCTGCCCGGCGAATCGGTTCCTCTCTCCGTCGACGGTCATGTGGACGAACTGATTATGCAAGCAACGGACAAAAAGAACCTAGCCGCCATGTACATCGGTTGGTGTGCTTTCTTTTAAAGGCTATATAAACAAATTGCCGTGATGCCAGACATTCAGTTTAACTGGGTTTTTCTTTTTTTTTTTTTTTAAGGAAATGTTAATGATTATCTCGCTGGAAATTCCTTACTTTGGGTATTTCGTTTTGATGTGAATACGACATGCGCAACTCAGGAAAGTAGAGGAAACATCCATTTTAAAACCGGTGCATACCAATAAGTTGCCTAGGCCATATCTTCAACCTTCACTTTCTTGGTAAGCTGCGACGATTAGAGCTTCGGCTTCGGCTTTGGCCGCTACCATTTGGACTGCTGTAATCATAGCTGCTATAGCTAGGACTTCGGCGTTGATGACGTCGAGGACTATCTGTGCGTGGGTTTGCCCTCCTTCTTGGTGGTGATCTTGATTGAGATTGCAAGGAAGGTGAACGGGAGCCACGCGGAGACTGGGAGCGCGAAATCGAACGCGGGCGATATAAATCATGTTTTTCCATTGGCCGGGAACGAGCATACCTCTTGGAAGAGGGTGGTGACCTGTGCGAGTATGGTGAAGGACGAGACGAACGAGTATCTAATGTCTGTCGTTGACTGTGTCTGTGACGGCCAAACCCTCCTTTGCCACCTCGAGCTGGTGGCGGCGAACGTGAAAATGCTCGTCGGGGAAGAACGATAGAGACACTCAGCACGGCACCATCAAGTTGAGCTTCGTGCATATGCGCGATAGCGGCTTCCGCATCTGCAGGGTCATAGTAAAGAATATATGCAGTACCTCTATTTGTCATGACTAAGGCGATAGTTAGATACCACAGTGAGAGGGAGATAAAAAGCCCTTACAAGCTCGGTTGATAGGAATATCCAGATTCTGTATGTCCCCAAATCCACCAAATATTTCACGGAGGTGAGCTTCGGTGACATTCTTTGTTAGTTTTTCAACAACAATCTTGAAAGTAAATGGTAATTAGCCTAACAGTAAGAGCGAGAAATATCAAGGGAGAAACTGGGACGGGGGAATTACCGACCTTCGAGCTTCTAGGAGGATGGTTCGGACTTGGGCTTCGGCTAAAGCTTCTGCTTCGACTTCTGTACCGACGAACGCTTCGGCTCCGACTTTGAGACAACGACCTGTTTCGTGGATACTGAGACCAGCTTCTTGGACGGCTTTCATTGCGATGGTTGGCACCAGGTTCCAAAGAAGGACTTCTGGTATGACCTCTTGGCTTTGATTCTGTTGGGGAGGACATAGAATGTTGTAACGAACTGGATCGTGCTCGACTAGATCGATGTGAGATAACTGGTGAACGTCCTCGGGGTGATTTCATCGACATGATGGACAGGGAAACAAATTTCATGCGAAAATAAAGCTGCCCAACAGAGTGTGTTGAGTCGAAGAAGTCAGGCGCTAGAGGATAATTTCCGGTGTAGATTCAGGGAGTGTGGCAATTTTGAATATCATAAAACCTGGCAGTGCCCATAAAATATAAGATAGGTAAGTATTCTTGAGGTGAGGTGAAATTAAAGTACCTAAGATAGGTAGGTAAGGTATACTATTCATACCAAAGCATGTAAGGTACGAAAATCTGCGCTAACTCCCATTGGTTTGAGTGTGAATGTGGATCTTACCTACTTACTTGGGTAGGTCGGTACGCATGCAATGATTGGATCATGGAACAGTTGGATAAGGAAACAAAGGAACTCCTCACCTCATGTCACGACTCAATACCTATATTCTCTATCATAGACCCTGACGTCTGTGGGTATTGTCTATATCCAAATTTGGTCATGATAAATGCCTAAGTGAAAAATTCTGTGATGGGTAGTCTGAGAATAAAGTGCCCCTTGTACTATGTACGGAGTAAACAGTGTCAATGGCGTGGTTATCTAGTAGCTTCTGCGAGATGCTATTATGGATATTTTCCAGCCCCGGGGTTTCAAGAAACACCCCTCCATTGCTCATATTCCCGAATAACATCATCTGTTATCTGCCTCTTAACTTGTCCAAGTGCATGTTTAAAGTGTTTCCACTTGACATCTTGCTTTTTACCTGTCTCTTCCTCCTCATCTAATGCTGCATCACCAGCTGTTTCACAGATACTCACAATCTCTGCTCCAGAATAACCCTCGGTTTTTAAAGACAGCTCATCCATATCCACTTCTGGGTGAACCACAGACTTGCTGGACCAGATCTTCAAAATCTCTTTGCGTGCTTCAAAATCGGGGGGTCCGATATAGAGAATATTGTCCAAACGACCGGGGCGCATCAGGGCCGGATCGATAACATCAGGTTTGTTTGTAGCAGCAATGACTAAAACATTCTTCAATTCCTCAATGCCATCCATTTCATTCAGCAAAGTTGTTAGTACATTGACGCCTCCTTGAGAAGTGCCGCTGCGCTTGGAGGCGATTGCATCGATTTCATCGAAAAATATAATACTGGGCCTGGCAGATCGAGCCTTTCGAAAGATCTCGCGTAAGGATCGTTCAGATTCTCCAACATACATACTTAAAATTTCGGCGCCTTTCACTGCCAAGAAATTCAGGCCAGCTTCTGTTGCCAGTGCCTTCACAGTCAATGTCTTAGAGCAACCAGGAGGGCCATAAAGAAGGATGCCCTTTTTGCTATTCACATTGAGTCTCCTCATTCGCTCAGGGAACTACGATAGTTAGAATATCTTGCTAGGATGACAATTTTGGGTAAAACTTACCTTTAGGGGTCTTTCAACGGCTTTTTGAAGATGCCTCTTGATGCTATGCTGCCCACCAATATCTGACCATCTAACTTTTGGTGTTTCTAAGAAAACCTCTCGCATGGCAGTGGGTCGAGTTTCTTGCAAGGCGGAGAGAACGTCTGACTCCTGTATATCCAAAGATACCATAGTCTCCTCTTCGGCATTATCCCCGAGATGGAAGGCAGAGGACATAGAATCAGCGGCACAGGGCGCGTTTTGCCGTCCATGTTCAAGAATTTGCCGCTGCCTTGCTTTACGACAAATCAGTTGAAGCAATGCAAATAGATCAGCTCCAACATAGCCGTGCGTCTTTTCTGCTATCGTGTCTATGAGCTTCTCACTCAGTTCGGAGAGTGAAGGTCCACGAATTGCACATAGAATTTCAGCACGATCCTGGGCTGTAGGAACTTGAAGTTCAATCTCCGTTGCCAGTCGATGGGGTGTCCTCAAGGCATCGTCGACATCGTTTGGATGCCTAGTTGCAGCCACAACTAAGACAAGAGCACTCTTAGCAACGTCTAAGCATTCACATAACACTAGGGCTAAGGATTGAGAATCGAGTGATGTCCGTTTCGGTGCAATAAACTCCAATTGATCGATCATAATAACACTTGGCTGACAGCGGATCGCCTCTTGGAAAACGTTGCGAAGCCTGGCTTCGGCATCGCCAATGTTTCTACTGAACGTAGAAGAGCCAACGTTAAATGATCTTTTCCACCCCGCTTCTTGTATTTGATGCAAAAGCGCGGTTTTGCCTGTTCCCTTTGGTCCATACAGAAGAATGCCCCTACTATGTACGTAGAAGGAAGGCATTGTCAACTTTTGGGATTTTTGGTTGAAATCCGCGAGGCTTTCATTTATACTGTCAATTTGGTGGGACATCCCGCCCAAGCCAGTATTCTGTACCTTGAGCTTGGAAGGTTGCTTTTCTTCTTGGTCTTCTAGGCCATCACCAATTAAGACTTTGGTGTGTTCGGCGAATCGAAATAAAGTATTAGAAGTAGTTGGATTCTGAGCCCGTATACCTGCAATCTTGAAGTTCCTACGTTGGCCTTTAAGTTCCAATTCAAATATCAGGCCAACTGTGAGAAATTCGCATCTTGATAGGGGAAACTCTAGAGACCAGGTCCAATGGGATCTGTCCGGATCAGAAAGGTGCCCATATCTTGTTAGCCTGTCAGGATCGGAACACTCCACCAAGGAAATCGATTCGATTTCTTCCAAAAAACCATCAAACTTATTGATAGATAGTTTCTCCCCAACTTTGATCTCGTAGCAGTCTTGCAGGATCCTTGAGGTTTGCACAACTGTATTCTGTATGCTCTCGGCTGCGGTCCAGGCTATCGCGGTTTTGGAAGGTCCATCAGTTGGCTTCAAATTGACAATGTCCCCAGCCCGAAGTTTGAGGCTGGCAAGGGAAGAAGATGATAGGTTGATGCGGAAAGCATCTTTAAAATCATTCCTCGCTTGCTTCGACAATGGTCGAACAGTAAAAAGACGGGCTTCCGACATTTTGTTGGTTAAAATGAACTGGCGGAATAAAGATAATATCAAACAGCTATCTGCCTGGGTTTGATCGTGATTCGTAAACAGAGCCTCCTTAATTCTGATTATACTGTATCCTCCAAGTGATAGTGCTTTCTCAAAGATTCCACAATGTTGCTAAAAACTAGTAGACTTCATCTAGATCTAAGACCTCAGATATGCATATAAATAATGGCAGCAGAGAGGCCATAGGCAGCTGAAGAACTAGTTTAATGAGATTTAAAACGGGAAAGAGGAAGAGAAAAGTATTGATAAAAATATATGGAAATATAAGTACAGGACTAAATAGACAACACCTAGGTGGTGTGTGATGAAATGTGTGTGGGTATGTGGGTACAGAGTACCCTTCCAGGAACTATTTCTGTAAAAAATTTCTTTTGTCGAAATACATCAACCCATTGGCGGCAGACATTGTCAGGTGGGGAGTATGGCTGCACATCTGCTGAACCACTACAACACAGGATTATTAAATCAATTTTGTTCTCCATAATGCAGTACTATGTAAGGTAGATAATTATTAGATACAACGCTCCTTAAAAGGATCCATTGATGCTTTAATCATTAACAGGCTGTCTTCCATAATACCTAGGTATTATGCTCCTTTATACTAGAATGCAGTGTCTGCTTGCTGACATTATATTGATTGAGGTTCACTGTCACCTAGATGGTATGAATCAACTGTTATGGTATCCTTTCAGAAGAGATCTAGATACCCATATACATAAACCCCTAGCTCAGTCTACTGGTTGAGTGTATCTCAGATAGGTGTGTCTAGATCTATCTCAGTTTCTCTTGAATGGCCAGGTGCTTTCTTCAACACTGTTATTATCATGTAGATTCCATTATTCTATTAGATTATACATGTATAGATCAAGCACATTAGCACTATCAAGTGAGTATTGGCAATTCGTGCGGGATTGTCTGATTAGTTATTACATAGGAGGGCCATGGAAGAAAGATTAGGTAAAAAATGTATTTGTTGCTTACCTATTCAAGACCGAAATATTATTTTCAGGCGCTTATACAAAATAAATAGTAATAGTAAGTTCGAATCTTGTCTTGCTCTGACAGCTGCCCTATAGAGCTAGTCCGTTGAGGAATTCATTTGCCTGATAGGTGCTTTGTGTCTGTATCTTACTCTCTTTTAGACTGGAAACAGGTGAAAGTCACTCTTATGAGTACTGGACTATTGAATCAACTGCTATATTACAGTAGACTGTTGTTTTTATTGTTTTTTTAGATAGATTTGAAAGCATTTCTAATTACTATCATGTTACACATTCTATTATTATAACACTAAGAAAATTAATTTGATAATGACCCATTACACAGGAAGTTTACCTACTAATTTCATACATGTGTGGTAACTTGTTAGAAAAATTAAATGTATAAGAGTTCTATATATTTATTACTATATTACAATTTACACCTATATATGTTATAGAAAACAGGCTATAATTAATCGCATAAGATAAGCAGGGCAATAGGTGGCACCCATGTTTATGACATAAAGGATAGTAGAATGAGGGTAAAGGGAATAACTAAAAAGGAATTATAAGTCCTAAATATATTATTATAGACAGGCATGCATTGGGTTCCATGCAGTGAAACCAGCACTTAAGCATTCATTCAAAAGCACTAGAAGACCCCTAAATATTTAAAACGTAGCACGTGAATGTATGTAGCAGACAAGGTAATATGAAGCTGTAAGGAAACAAAAAGGACAAAAATTGGGAATGGGTGATAATACAATAGTGGGCCTAGCAACACTTTCCACCTGTGTTGCCATTCAATCCAGAGCCTTGCTGCTCTATGCTGACGCCCTGAGAGCCAGCTTGATCCGATTTAGACGTATCCATGCCCTTCTTAATATCTGAAGCAAGGTTGTAGAATGCTGTTTCAATGTTGACGTTGTTTTTGGCGGAAACTTCAAGGAAAGGTATGCCGAGTTCGTCAGCAAGCTGCTGGCCTTGTTCAGTGGATACAGCCCGTTTTTCTTCCCAGTCACACTTGTTTCCAATGAGAATTTTGTGAACACCCTCACTTGCATGTTGCTCAACATTTGAGAACCAAGTTCGAATATCTGAATTGGCGTTTAATTGTCAGTGTCCACAACACATTTTCGCACAGTCCAGGAAAGATCTTACTATGGAATGAACGTTCGTCTGTGACATCATAAACAAGAAGTATGCCCATTGCCCCCCTGTAATATGCTGTCGTGATGGTCCTAAAGCGCTCCTGCCCAGCTGTATCCCAAATCTGGAGCTTTACCCGTTTACCATCCAACTCAATTGTACGAATTTTAAAATCGATCCCGATAGTAGTGATGAAAGATGGTGTGAATGAATCTTCGCTGAACCGCAAAAGGCAGCATGACTTTCCGACACCAGAGTCTCCGATCAACAGCAGTTTGATCTATGGCATTGATAACATTTAGTGAATATACCTATCCAAGAAGAAACCAATACTTACCAAAAAATCGTAGTTCCTTGTGCCCGCCATTATGAATGACGCGTGTCTGATAGGCTGTACAATGCTGATGCCGATCAAGTAAATGGGCGATTCAGAACGTTGTACGGAGAACAAACGCCTGTTGGTGACTGAATATTAGGGACGGGCTTTCCTTGTGGCCTTTCGTTTCTGCTATTTCTCTCCGGCGATATTGTCTGCAGGGAACTGCAGCCACCGTATGGTGGCAAGCTTTCTGGTTTCTCTGAACGTTATGGGGATTCGGATTCGTGTCGTATGTTGGAGAACTCAGGGGACTGGGTCGTTTCAGTCCTAACAGCGGTCTGCTTATGAACTTAGGGCCAGGAAAGTAAATGTTTTGTGTGATCCTGTGTTGAACATATGACAATGTCCTCCGTGGACATGAAATAAAAAATTACCAGAATAGAATGGTGTTTGATGTTTGCTCAGTAGGTGGAGGTGATGACGGTAAGCTAGGGGTGTAATAATATGCCGAGTCGTTAACCCACCCAGGTGGCACACCCCATCAAACATAGGTACATACAGCGGACTCCAGATACCTCGATGCCACCTTAAAAAAGAGAATACGTGAAATACTCCGTTACATCAAATTGTTCTTCTAGTTTTTGTTGCTTATTTACTTTTAATTTTCTCTCGCTACGGTGTTTCGGAGCTATAAAATGGAAGGCAATCAATCTATGATGACACTATACGGAACCTAAGTTATCATTTCATTGAGCGTTGTGGTGGATGGGAAACAAGTCCAGCAGGTATAGAGTTCTCCAATTCAAAATACTTCCGTGTAATAGCCATTCTGTAATGCTACCTCTGTGCGGTGTTTCGATAGGGATGTAGGTTGTTTCTGGCTGGCGGCGGCGACGAGTACTTGAAAGCATTGGTCCCGTCGACCAGGTTTCTGCAAAACCGTTATTCCACCGTCAGCACTACAGCATTCATGCTTATTCGGCCTAGGTAGTAGGTTGATAGTATTAGTGCATTATCAGGTAGCGTATATTCACTACCTATCAATTATCCCATGCTAGCGCTCCACACAGTGGGATATATAATAATTGAGCTATCCATTCAGTTAATTGAAGAAATACATCAGAGAACAGGCTGCCTCAATAATAATATCACATGCGCTGTTTAGAAAATATTATTGAAGCTATTTGGAATATGCCCATGCTATTCTCTTGGTGACCTTCAGCTGCCTGTCAATCCCGCTTTGAATATTGATCAAATCTCTGATATCCCTCCGAAGTTCACGAAGATCTTGCCCCTTTAAAAACAAGACTGCCTTCCGAAGCAATATTTCCGTGTCACATATCAACAGACCATGATCTTTGTGAGAAAGAATTCCCTTGGCATTGGGGGATGACAATGTCAAAGTTCGGTCAATATTCCTGTTGGAGTGTCAGCACCATGGAATTACCTGCAATTCCTCTTGCACATTACCGTAGAGAGCGTTTAAGCCCATCCTGTTTCCTGCCCATTTGCAACCCTCTCCTACTGCCAAAAACACCGTAGATCCAATGAAAAACAGTGTATGAGACCAGGATTCCCGGGGTGAGACCAACAAAGCTACCAGTGACAAAATATTAATTTGCTGTAATTGACGAGTTAATAAATGAGGTACTTACCCAAAAACAAGCTGCTGGCTTTTGAGAAGAGCATCAATACCACTGATTGCTATTTCAACATCTACTTTTGTCTTCTGAACTTGGATCAGAAGAGCGCGTACTAAATCCCCACGCACAGTGCCCAGGAAGGGCGTTCGTAAGTCTCTCTCATATGCTTTCAAAACTGGAGTAAGGTCCCCTTCTTTTACTTTGTTAGTGATAGCATGGATATCTGTCACTGAAGGGCCTTCCTGGTTCGTCTCCTGGTGATCAGTGATGAAGTCAGAAACCATTCTCTCTAAACTAGCTCGATCGGCTTCTAGGCTGTTTTTGCTCATGATGGCAATTTCACTTTCTTCGTCATGCCTTATAGTACCAATGAGTTTCTGAATTGGTTCAAAAACCCAGTTGTTCCAAAAGTCAACAGCAGTAGAGCCGATGCTGAAGACCCATTGGATAAGCTCAGCACGCCGATTCGTTAATATCCTAAGAGAAGTGCTTGCTGACATTATCACCATGGATAATGGTAGCCAATAGCGTACGAGACGTGTGGGACGCCCATGTGTGCTGATAATAGTCTTTGACAATTTTGTATTGGTTGGTATCAGCTCTTGCAGGATGTGAACCAGCCTGTCAAGGAAAATAGCAGGTTTTTGAAAGGGGGATTCGCCATCGACCTGACTTTCAACAAACGCAATGTCTCTATCAATCGCTGCAGATATACTCTCCTCGAAACCAGGAGAGTCGCTTTCACCCACTGCATTTCGCAGAATGGTTTCCACCAAGATCACAGTTCGTGAAATCATGTCACACCATTTTTCATTTGAAGATTTGCAGCGATCCCAGGCTGAAATATCATCACCCAGATCAAATGAGAGGCATGCTTCCATAAGAAGTCCAATGCTGCTAGCATGTGTGCTTTTCATTGTGCTCAGAGATTTCCGCTTCCGTTGAATTTCTGACCTGTGCATGGCAAACGGCGACCACATTCCCGTCTGCAAAGAGTGTTTTTTTGGTGTGTGGATACATCGTCGAATGAATTCAATAAACTGCGTCCACCTAGCAGGAATGGGCGTTGAACCTCGAGAATGTGTTTCCGGTTCCCACGAATCCGAGTAGGCGTCCCTGACTACCTGCCACAAGCGAAAAGGTGAGGTCTGCAGGGTATAAAGCCCAGAATACAAGGGGGAGTTTAGAATTTCATCCCAGTATATGAGCTCGTCATTTAAAACCAGTGTCCGTTCCAAGAAATTGTTCGCTACCAATCCTATTGCCTGCACAGTGGTTTTTGCAACCAGTAACCATATAAGATCCGGTGCTTGTACAGCAAATGAACATTGAGAGGTTTCATGTGTTCCAAGTATTGGTTGAGGAAATTTAGTGATTAACCTCGAGAGTCTGCTAGGCTGTGGCACTCTGTGGGGTTTGGAAGCTATGGCGATTGAGTGTAAGAAATCCTGCCACTCGGCCATTGGATAAGTTGGCGAACTGCATTCATGGGCATATTCGATGGTTCCCTTTGAAAGCTCGTCAAGGGATATTTTATCAAGAATGTGTTGTTGGATCTTGTCGAGTTGTGCGTCCAAATGGTGAATATTACTAGATGATGTTGAGCCCGAGTTTTGAGGAGGGGGGCAGGGAACAATGTATATCTAAACTCACTCATTGATTAAAGACATTTCACAGGTAGTTGCTTCTGTAATGGAAGATTTTAGTATTATATTTACTACCTAAGTACCTAGGTCCAGAGTACATTCCTATCTACATGTAGTAGTAGGCATCTTTGAAACAAAACATGCAAACAGTAACTCGGTACTCCATAGATACCTACCTTAGTGACTGCTACTACTTTTACGTACTACCTCCGAGCACTACATAACAGAACTTCCAAGGTTTATCATCATCGACTCTATGGAGGTGTCTATGTGTATCAGTTTAAAATTCCACACCACTTTTCTTTCATATATAGTTACCCAAGCCGGAGTACTGCTTGAGTCCTGGCTCATTACCTAGCCAGGGGGTATGTTATCTATCATAGGTATCTACCTAGATCTGTAGGTACCTGTAGGTATCTGTATGATCTCATCTTGGGTTAGTTCTATGTACATAGGTGGTACTCCGTACTCCGTACTCCGTATCATCTCGTAATATTTTTCTAGGTGGGGTCTGCCCGAGGTATTGCTACCTTATGAGTATGTACTCCGTACTCTAGTTATATATCCCTTTCCATCAAATAGGTTGCACTAAGTTCTCTGCAATAATTGATGAGTCATGCATAGCTAATTTTGGCTATGAACAAGGACATCTGTTGTTTTTATAGGGGACTACCCACCTCATCACCACGGAAAATATCCCAGAAGTATGGAGTGTTCCGTATGTACTACCTTATGCAGTACCTACCTTACCTAATTAGATAACTACTACAGGGCAGTTACTTAAGCATCTAGGCTATCACATAGTTAGTAGGCGCCTAGGTAGTATTATGGTTGATAAGGCTGTTAGATATGAAGAATGTCGTGGTATGACCGATGCTATGAGTGAAGATAGTTAATCTTTCTAAGACTGTCTAAATACTACATTCGTAAAAAGCGATTGCTGCCTGCAGGGATTTTTGAGGTAGGAACCCCTGTACTCCGTTTGATACATAAAAGGTTGTTTATCCATACCTACTGAAGCCGTGGAGGTTGCCCAGCCACCCCTGTGCTTATGTGCTATGTATGTATTAGTGCCTACCTAGTAAAGGTACCTTAGTTACCTAGTGTCCGTACTTGATTGGTAAGAAAAATAGGGAGCCATCCCCTTGCTATCAAATGATCAAATCATGTGTGTACAGTAGGGTCTTACTAAGATGTGAAATAATAGTGGAGTCACACAGTGGGGTATAATATCGGTCCAAATCGGCTAGGCAGTGGTGCCAGGGGAAAAGGCCAAAAAAAAAGTCTCGCCACTTCGGGAACGGATGTCCTGGTCGCGCCGCCTTGGCTACCAGCTTGGCCCTGAAATAGTTATTCCTGCCCACCATTGACTCCCACTCTCATTACAATTTGGCTTGTGGTTTTCTTTATCTCTTTTTTTTCTTGCACAAAGATTCAACATAGTCAATTGGGAACTGATCGAGCTGAAGCAATTGGCTTGGTACTCGAAAATAATTTTTTTTTTTTTTAAATAAACATTCGTCGAATATTATGTGAGTCCCAGCTTCCCCTATTCTTCTGGTTCCGCCTATTCTGTTTCTGACGAAATCAAGGAATTCGACACTGTTGTCATCGTCACCTGAAACCTATTGGGGTCAGTTTGAGGAAATTTCCAAATACAATACTCACCTGGGTATAATCGAAAGACTCTGGACAGCATGGTATGCATGGATGCAGAATGATGTTCTGGCTACAGGCATCATGTCATTTATGATGCATGAACTTGTCTACTTCGGTCGATCGCTGCCCTGGATCTTTATAGACAGTTTGGGAGTCCTCAAAAACTACAAGATCCAAAGCGTGAGTGCGAAGAAATAAACTCTGCCCCCACCCCCAAAGGGAGATGCAATTCTAACGGATTGGTAGAACAAAATACCTTCATTGCGCGAGCAGTGGAACTGCGCGAAATTCGTATTACTTAGCCACTTTACTGTTGAGCTGCCTCAGATTTGGTAAGAAGGCCAATCATTCAATCCGTATGCTTACGATTAGACTAATTATGTGTGACAAATAGGCTTTTCCACCCAATGGCTCAGTTTTTCGGGCTTTCTACATCAGTTCCTTTCCCATCTGTGTGGACGATGGCATATCAAATTGCTATATTCTTTGTCTTGGAAGACACATGGCACTACTTTTCCCATCGTGCCCTCCACTGGGGTCCCCTCTACAAGGCCATTCACAAAATCCACCACCAGTACTCTGCTCCCTTCGGTATGGCTGCCGAATATGCTTCTCCAATTGAGGTCATGATCCTTGGGTTTGGCACTGTTGGTTGCCCGATTCTTTGGTGTGCTCTGACTGGTGACTTGCACATTTTCACAATGTATGTTTGGATTGTGCTGCGTCTATTCCAGGCCATTGATGCGCATAGTGGCTATGAGTTTCCTTGGAGTCTGCACCATTTCCTCCCTTTCTGGGCTGGAGCTGATCACCATGATCTCCACCACGAAAAATTCATTGGCAACTATTCAAGCAGCTTTAGGTGGTGGGATTACCTGCTTGACACTGAATACTCGCCTGATGCTATCAAACGTCGGAGAGAGAACAAGGCTTCGGGCGCAGCAAAGAAGGCCCAGTAGCTTTATTGGTTTATCTTTTGTTCGGATACAAAAGGGATGCGTGATGACTGGCCCTGTTTACTTGATTGGGCAGATGACTGGTGTACTCCCATAAATGGGTTACAGCTGTTTTACAGCAGTCTTTATAATTAGTTTATAATTAATCATATTGCGGAATTAATATAATATGTAATAGTTTTATGATATATATATAGATATATATATATAGGGTAGGGATTTTATTTAAGTGTTACTACAAGTAACTGTGTTGAAGATAGACCTCCTCCACACTGAATGGTGGTGAGAAAGTGGTTATCCACTATATTGAAGCCTCGCCGCGGAGAGGCCATCTGATAGGATAATCATTTATTCATCTCAAGTAGTAATTATAGGGACTATATAAATAAATAGTTATCCTGGTTAATATTACGGCTAATAACTTGCTTTGTTTATATAGTTTACTTAATAGTATAAATGTGACAACTGGTGGCCGCATAGTGGCGCTTCCAGTGATATCTTATGTAATCTGCTTAATAATATACTAAGTTAGCCTACTATATATTATATAATTATACTATAAATACCCTTAATATTAAATATATTATACTATACCTTAGTAATTAGTTTAATATAATCTATCTATATATTCTACTACAGTGGGAGGAATCTAGTTTGCACCCCCCCCCCGCCAGACCGCCTCCGCAGACCGCCTACTTAGATAGAATTGTATTCTGTATACAACCAACGCGTTGATTATGTATTCTATATTATATCACCAATATGGTATGAAAAAGAGGCCCAGAACTATCACTATAAATGTAATCTTAAATCTGTGAGCTTCATTCTATTAGCTGGGGCGTGAAATGAATTCATATAAAGCATCTAGAGTGGTTAATTAATATAATTAAAATAACTCTATGGTGTGAAGCTATTTAGGATAATAATAAAATATAACTGCGCTCTAGCCCCCTATATAAGCTCTCTAAAGAGCAGAGAGATTATTTATATAATTATATAGTCTCTAATCCCTATATAAAATGGGCAGAACTACTAGATAAGGTAGATTATATTATTAAAAAGCACTTAATCTAGAAGCTTTTATATAAGATAGGATATTATAAATAGAAGTAACTTAAACACCTATTTCTTTATAAAATCTATATTAAAAAGTGCCTTAAATAGGTGCTTTTTTATATATATTATACTCTAGAAGACTGACTATATATCTAGTGGTCTAATAAGTATTCTATTAAGTAAGGTACTAGTATATATCTAATCTAGACCTTTAACTTACTAAAGAATTAACTATAGGAGGGGGATGTTAAGATAGTTAACTATAAGAAAGGAGTTAAGTAGATATTTTAAGCTACTTTTTAAGGAGAGACCTATATAGGTCTAGTACCTCTAGATAGTAATCTATTAACTCTAAAGGGTAGTATATCTAGGTTTATTATTTATAAGCTTTACTATACTTTTTTACTAGATCACCTCTAACCTAGTAATATTTTTATATATAATAGTGCTAGTATCTATTAGGCTAATATTATTAAAGCTCTTCTTAAAGACTTAGGTATTAAAGTTATGGTTTAGCCACTATATTTACTAGATTTAAATCTAATTAAGAATCTATAGGTAATTATAAAGTAGGAGATTTATAAGCTATATCCTAACCTAGAGAATATACTAAATATAGAGGAAATATACCTAAGTTTAGTTAAAGTAGCTAAGGAAGCCTAGCAGGTAATTAAATTACTAATTTTAAGATATTTAGTAGAGATAATGCCTTATTATATATAAGTAATTATTAACGCGGATAGCTGGTATATAAAATACTAGGGCAAAGGCAATTTTAGAGGTTTAGACCAGCAGAATAATGAAATATTATTAGTTAATCAAAAGCAGCTCCCACAGGCAAAAAAAGGGGGGGGGGTGCAAACTCAGTACACCTCACTGTATATTCTCTATATACTTCATAAGATATATTCTAATAGTTTTAATTACTTTACTTAGTAGATTATCTAATATAATATAATATAAACTCCTTAAAATATTTAATAATTATTATAATAACTTTAATTATCTTATAAACCCTACTAGGGCTATAATCTTATAAAAGGCTAATAATAAAAATATTAATAATATTCTTTAAATAAACTAGCTTATAGTAAAGGAACTCTCTATAATATTTAAGATTAAAATATAGATATTAATTAGGCTATAAATAATAATATTATTATATCTTATACTTTAGATATCTTATATTAGAACCTCTAATTAATAATATATTATAAGATAATGACTATATTAATTTAAATCTTAAAAATTAAATAGCTAAAGCTTAATAACCTTAATTAAAATATTTATATAGATATAATACTCTATTAATTTAAGATAGATTAAACTAGGTTATTTAAGGTTTACTTAATTCTTTATCTAGATATATAAACTTTAATAAATAATAATAAACTATGTTCTTAATTATAATTAATAATAATAATAGTAAAGTAAAGCCTTCTTTATATTTAATAATTATTAACTTATTCTTAGATAAGAATATATATTAATTATAAGATTTTATAAATTAACTTAAAGTATATTTTATATAATTCTAAGACTAATTTATTATTAATAAATAATAAAAGGTAACCTATAATATTAATTACCTTAATTTAAATTACCTTATAAAGTAAGACTAAGAAATAAATAGCTAAAAGTTAATAAAAATCCTTAAATTTTTATTAAAATTATACTAATAATTTAAGAATTCTTTAATAATATATAACTATCTAGTATAATAAGGCTTAATGATTAGAATATTAAAATATTATTAATTTTTCTATCTTTTTTATTATATTAGAGAACTAACTTCTATATTAATATATAAAGGAATAAAGGAAGTAATACCTATTTATAAAAATCCTTCTAATTATATAATATAAGATATAGGAATCTAATATAGACTTTAAGGACTTAAGTAAGTACTTAATATATTTATAGTCCCTTAAGAATAGCCTACTTAAGTACTAATAGAAGTTATATACTAATAGAAAGGATAAAGACCCCTTTAAGAAGGAAGGGTAAGTGTCATACCCTAGGATCTTATAATGGTACTGAACCTATAAAACCTATAAGTTAAGCGTAGGAACAATAACCTATAACCCTAATCTAAGGATAGTAATAGTAATTAAGATACTCCTATGAGTTACAATACTTAAGAATATAATAAGGTAATTAAGGAGAGAAGTAAGGCTAAAAAGGTATATATACTTGAATAATTAAAATAAGTATCAAAGAGGTAACTTATTATATAATATAGGTAGGTTACTTAATAGTAGCTATAAAGAGTATCTTATAAGTAATTTATAATTCTCTATAATGAGAATATCTATTTCTATTAACTGCCTGATTCTGCGTGGTACAGTCACTGATAAGAGTGCTGTAACGGTAAGGTAGACCTTAAGAAGCTATAGAAGGCAGTCTATAAAAAATATAAAGATCTTATTCTAGATTAAATAAGTATAAATATAGCTTAAATCTACTATAAAACTAAAATAGACTCCTTTACTATAGATATAGATAGTATAATTATATAGTACCTAACTATTAATTATTATATCTATATAATTAGACTCCTATATGTGAAGCTAATACAGACGTCTTTTTAAAAAAATAAGAGATATAATATTTAGAGCTATAGTAGTATTAGATCTTAAGAAAGAACCTTATAATAAATAAATAATATTTAATATTATTATTAATATATCTATAAGTCTAAAAATTATATCTACTCTCTTGGATTATAGTAATAGATCTAGTTTTATCAACTAATATTAGATAAAAGAGTATTTAATTAATATAAATAGCTTAATATATCCTATTTAAATTATTAATAGCTATATTATAAATTTATATAATAGCTATAAACTTAAAATTATTATTATTAATAATAATAACTTAGTATAGGATTAAGTAAAGACTTTTAAAGTAATTAATATAATATTTTATAATATTATTCTTAGCTTTCCTTAGCTTAAAGCTATTAACCTTAATATATATTAGTTAATATATAAGTAGTATTATTATATAAGGATAATAAAAATTAGGTTAAGATTCTTTTATTATAAGTTTATATAGTTATAATTATATACAATACTCCTATATATATTCTCTATATTTAATAACTTATAAAAGGTAAATTAATTATATTTTTTAATATTATAATAAATAATTTAAGAGTTTTAAAGAAGTATTTAGACTTCCTTAATATCTTTTTTAAAAAGGAAGCTAGGATTCTAGCTTTATATTAAGATTATAATTATATTATTAAATATATAACCTAATATAGCTTCTTTATACTACCTAATTTATATATTAAGTAAGATTAAATTATATATTCTTAAGGATTATATTAATAATACTCTTATAGAGGGCTAGATTTAACCTTTAAAAAGTCTTACTAATATATTTATCTTAAGAATAGATAGAAAACTACTTTTTAAACTTATTATAGCTACTTTAAATATTAAGTAATATCTTTTAAATATAAATATATCTATAATATTCTAGTCTTATATTAGTAAAACTTTTAATAATCTCCTTAATATATATTATATTATATACCTTAATAGTATTCTTATCTACTTTTAGAATAAGGAATATATCTAATATATATATATATATATATCAATTTAAAATAATTATATACCTTTAAGCTCTATATTAAATTAAGTAAGTATATCTTCTATATTATTATTAACTTTTTTAGGTTTACTATTATATTAAAAACATATATTTAACTTTATACTAAATAAATTAAGCCTATATCCATCTTCTTTTCACCTTATTATAGCTAAGTATAGTAGATAGAAGTAATAGGCTCCTATTAAGATAGCTAATTACTTAAATAGTAATAATATAGGTCCTAAATATATACTCCTAATAAATAATAATTAATATACTAATATAGGATATTTCTATTATATAATAGCTTAATTAAAGTAATCTACTAAGAATAATAGTATAATTCTTATTATAGATACTTTTATTAACTTTATAAATACTATAATAGTATTAATTAAGATAATTTAAGATAATATTACTACTATAGCTACTACTACTATACTTTTAAAGAAAGAGATTATATAAATTAAAGTTATATTAAATAGCCTCTTAAAGTATATTATTAATATAATAAGAATAGCTATTAAGA